ATGGACAACTTCTATGCCAGGAAACTGTACATTGAGGAAACGGTGAAAGCATCGTTACAGGTGCAGGAAATGGCCACGCAACTGTTCCACGAGCAAGTTGAGCGGGACACGGAAACACGGCGATTACAGCAGGAGAAGAGCTACAAGGAAGCGACGGAGAAATTACGCCATCTGGTCTCAACGGTTTCTGTCAGTGGCATATATAGGCGCCCTATGGTTCCCTGTTTGACCATGTCTGTTTATGGAACATGTGTTGAAGATGACATTCGGCGGAATGGCGAGGCTGCGTTGCATCTGGAACACATAAGAAAGATGCGAGGGACTTTAACAACAGGTCGGAGAGAGAGACAGAAAACTGGAGTGGCGTCTGCAACTACCGAGGAAAGTGGTTTCCCGACGAACAAGCAAGTGCAAGGGGGAGTTGGTGCAAAGGGGCAAGGTAATGTTTCAACACTTCCTGTGTTGCGTGGTGCGTGGAACCGCAGCTGCATTGATGGGCAGAGTTTGCCTCGCATCTCAGTCCCCTTTGCTGGAAATGGGAGGAAGAATCTCGGCGTTATTAAGTGTCATTCATGTATAGATGGTTTTGAACCTATGTACGATACAGAAACGGCTGCTCTGTTGCGTTCTATAGACGCCAAGGAGATACAAGCACTTCATGGTAGCAAACCGTTTGTCGTTCACGCCCCCAGGCGTGTCCCGCTGTAATAAATTGAGAGGAATGTAAAGGAGTGTGAATCTCTGATTCACCCACTCCAATGTAGCTGTTTACCCTCAGCAACGGAAGGCGTGTTCGTTGCTTTACGTCTTTTGTTTTTGCGTTTGTTTTACTTTTTTCCCTCTCGCATGTGTTGTTTATGGCAAGCACCCTTTGGTGTCAGCGTGGTCAACAAAAAGCCAAGAGAGAGAGAGGGTGCGCACCATGTTGCCTCTACGCGCACAATATATATATATTTGTAAATGTTGTGTTGGCTTCCTTTCTTCGACTGCTTTTACTTTTTTTTTCATTTTGAAGCGGACGTTTTTGCGCATTTGCAGTTGCGTTAGTAGGTTCCTGTGTGAAGTAACAACAACAAGCTTTGACTCTGTCGCTCTGTGTGTGCTTGAGAGACGCCAGTGATGCTGCCCCCCTTCTCGAAAACTGTGGAGGCGATCGTGTTTTCAGATTCTGCACTCCCTGCAGCACTGAGCTCAGAGCAGGTGCAACTGATTGTGTCCAGGCTGGAGGAAATAACGAGTGCAGATAAGCGGCCGTGTGAGCACCATTTCTTTGGAAAAGACTCCGTCTGTGCCCAAACCAATAGTTTTTTAGTCGCGCAGGGATGCCCATCACGCGCGCTTGTGGAGAGTTGCTTTGTTGCCGCGGGCGAGCACTCAGAGCTGGGAGAAATGTTGCAGTGGTTTGCCAGCGCCGTTGTGGCGTTGTTTGTGGACGGTGTAAAGAGCGGAGTGAGTTTCCCGCAGGCATGGGAGGAATCGATGCGGAGGTACCCCACACTCGCCGCCCACACTTTTGAGCTGCAGGGGTTCAGTGCGTTGTTTTCCTTCCTGCTCTTCCAGTTGGCGGCGGTGGAGGGAACAATGAGTCGGCGCGGGGCAAGTGGTGATGTTACCGACGTACAAGAGGTGATGCGGCGCAGTAGCCGCAAGAATGTGCAGAGGGGGATCAAGCGCGAAAGGGTCTTCAGGCAGCGGGAAGTCACGCAGGAGCGTGCATCAGGGCGATTCATGGCCACAGCTAGCCACAATGTCGGGACTGCGGCACCCAAAGACACGGCTGTCGCTGCAGCGGCGACAACGACAACGATTGCTGGTATGTGCCAACGCACTGCAAACCCTACTGTGTTGCCGCATCGTCCACTAGCGAAGACGTTAATAATGAGAAATGTGCAGCCGTTGTGGAATCCTGAAGAAGCCACTGACTCATCTAAAGCGTTGAAGCCGATGGTACCGTCTCCCAGTTTGGAACTCCCTGCAAGTAATAAAGGTAAAGTGAGGTTTTTGGACAGCATGCCTTCACCAATGCAGGTTCCACGACAGACGGCTGATAGCGGAACTCTGGCCCCCGACCCTGGTGAAACATCACTCTTCCATTATTCCAAGTGTAAAGATGGAACCTTAGTGCAGGCCGGTGTGTTCACACCACCTCTGGCTATTCAATCGAAGACAATAACAAATAACACTGAAAACGTCAATAAAGATGTGGACTCGAATAATGGGGCATGTACTTCTCTCAGGTTGTCCAATCTTCAGGGCGTTATATCTCCCACTGCAGAAGAATCCGCGTCTGAGCGGCGGAGGCGAAAGGTGCCCGCAGATAGACCCGGACCTTTTCGGATGGAGGACCTTCAACAACAAATGCGGACCGAAGAGCTGCGTAGAAAGTACGGTGTAAAAAAAATTATTAACTATGCAGAGAGAGATCTGGAAGAGGCCAGGGATCAGATGGAACGAATGCGCGAGATACTAGATGCGGAATATACTCCGATGTCGGATACAAAGTGAGAGGCAGTGTGGGAACTGCAAGTACGTTCCCATGACGGAGGAAGAGACAATGGAAGGAATAATAGGAAGAAATTACATGTATGCATCTGTGTATTACTCCGGGCATTTCGAACTTGCAAGGTGTGATACTTTTTGTGGTGTCATGTTTATAGTGCGGAAGGGGCGGAAAGTGGAGTAAAATTGCGTGTATAATGTTGTTTATATACATTGATGTTCATTGGCGTTCTAACGCGGTTTTTTTTTTTTTGGGGGGGGGGGTTGCTTTCCACCCCTGATTGGTTTTATCGTGATAAGTTTTGTTTTTGCAGTGTGATGTGAATTTGTGCGTGTGCTTTTTGTGTTGTATGTTTCCGGTTGTCCTTCGCTGTTGCCGACTCCAAGAGACACATTTGTATTTATATGTTTTGCTCGGTTGTTGTTGTTTGTTTTTGTGGCGTTTCTTCTGACGTTTTTTTTTTTTGGCGCGTGCGGGCCGCAATTTCTCTCTTTTTTTGCGTCTGCGTCTGTTTTCCTCGTTGCACGGTGCACATAGCACCCGCCTGTAAAGTGCCCGCGAGTTGAATGGGACATATGCGGTGGTGCATGCCTGTGGACCTGTGACATATGATGTCTCGGGGTGTTGGTTTGTGGGCAACTCCTCGTGGTGCCTGTGCCGGAGCGTCGTTGCTTTGAGTCTTCAGGAAGCTAAAAGTTAACCCCTCTGCGGTGCATTGCGCCGGGGGATGCACCGCATGTCGTGTACCGTGACGCGGGATTGCCACCGTGCTCAGTTGATGCACTGTTCAAGCACCCCCTACATTGTTTGTGCTATTCTAGTGGGGGCAAAGTGCCTGGCCAGGTGATTGCACGGAAAACTGCATGCTCAAGGTTGGTGTCACGTGCCCCCCTGTCAAGTACGACTTTTTTTTTGGAGAGAAGGGAATTAAGGCCCTTTGTGTGCACTTGGTCAGGTTGTTTGTCATTGGCGGGACATTTTGCATCAGGTCCTGTGTGAGGGAAACCAACGACCGTTACATGAGGCGCCGTGCTGTTTGTGTCGCCCATACAAGCCAACTGATGCGAGATGTGGAAACGCATTTTCATCCTTAAACGTTTAGGCAGCAACATCGAGATGTAAAAAAAAACACTCACACGAAGAAAGGGGGGGGGGAGATGAATTATGGAAATGAAACATGTGACGTTTTTTTTTCTTTCTGTTTCCATACTTGTTTCTGTTTGCGCTTTTTTTTATTTGCTTGGTATTTGCACTGCTTTCACTACCTGTGTGTGGGTCTCTCCCTCGTGTGCCCACACGTCGGGAGCCCTCCTCTCTTTGGCACAACAGCAATGCTTTCTCTCTTTCTTTCTCTCACTGGCTGCCTCTCATGTACGGGGACGGCACGCATACACAAAAAAAAAAGTGAAAGCGTTAGGCTGGAAGTAAGCGTAGCGCTGAGCAAACAAGTAACACCCCGTAGATAGGGGGAGCAACACTTTTTTATCTTGGTTTTATTTTTGCAGGCACACTGGGGGCAATGAGGCGGTACGAGAAAAGGCTTCGACACAGGACAAGTCACGGCGTTCAATGGAGGCGCCGAGTTATTCTACTGACACTGCTGCTCGCGGCGCTTCTGGTGTTTAACGGGACCTCCGTTGTGCCACTGCATCGTTTATTTTCTGGTAACAAAAGGACCAACGGCATCAGGATTGCTCCCACGCCGCCGGAGTTACGCATAGAAGGGCAAGAACAGCTGCACGAGCGGGGTCCAGCGAATGTGGTGAGGCGTATTCCGTCAAGCACTCCTTCGGATTCAGCTCAGGGGGGTTTGCTGAGGCCTCACCGACGCCACAATCTGGATGCTCTGTACTCCACCCAAAATTGTAAACGAATGCTTGGTGAACCGGATGCTGCTGTTGAAGATGAACACGCGAATACGCCGATACGAGTGCAGTTTTTTGGACCCCACTGCCGCTCAGGATTTTATAGGGGCGGTGATGTGGATGAGAACCAACGGCGATGTGGCGATAGTGCACAACCCATTGTCGGACTCATGCCACATCTCTCGGCGGCATCGTTTTTCCCTGATGAAGTCCTAACGGGTGAGAGAGGCACAGTGGGGCCCAGTAGCCTGCAGAGTATAGTGGAGGAAGACGAGAAGGAAACGCGCTGGCGCACGGCTTTTATGGCGTCATCATGCTTGCTATGCCGGCCGCGTGGTAACGAGAGTGTGGGCGAAAAACCAAACTGGGTATGGAACTCCGGTGCGTTTCTTGTAGACATCTCATTACGCACGTTGACTGCGAAAGGTGAGTTGTCAGGTGGGTTGGATGCAAACTTTTCTTTTAGTGCAGCGTATCAAATGCAGTTTTTTGGACTGCCATCTCATGCAACAGAAATCCGCCTACCAGATAGGAGTAATTATAGCCTCTTTAACCAGCTTCATCTGGGCGAGATCCGCACATTGGGTGTAGGTGGGAGTGGAACAGTTCCACTCTTGTACGCAATTGGGCAAGTTCCACATCGCGACGGTGCAAACGCGACGGTTGGCTGGAACCGGCGCGCAATGGGTATTCTTTGGATAAACGGCTCTCCATTGCGGGTGCGTACATCAGCAGCAGGACGAGGAGGCGGTGTTGGAGGAGCAACGACCCTGTCATTCACGAGTACAGCTGGTGCCACTCGCGTGTATCTGCTGCCCGGCCCCACACCTGAGGATGTTCTTCTGCAGTATTACACCTTGACAGGGTTTCCGATGATGCCGCCGCTTTTTGCGTTGGGCTACCACCACACACATCGGGGGTACCAGAAGGCAGACGACTTGCTGAATGTGAGCGCCGCATTTTTGCATGCGCAAATACCACTTGACACGCTTGGCGTGGGTTTATACCATGCAAACGGCAAGCGCATTTTTACTTGGAACCGTACGTGTTTTGCAGATCCTGTGGGATTACAGGATGAACTGTGGCGCCACGGTGGACGATTTCTTGTTCTTTCCACTGTGCCATATGTACCGGTGGATTCACACTTTTCTCTGTACCTTGAGGGCAGACGACATGAGTTTTTCGTCACAGAACATCCGGAGACAGACGTTATGTTCATGGGTTATTCTGAGTCTGGTGCAAGGGTGTGGATTGACTTTCTTGATCCACGTGCAAGGCGGTGGTACGGGGGTCTGTTGAAGTACAAGCGCTTCGTCGGTTCCACAAACCACACTTTTTTTGCTTTGGAGGAAAATGAGCCTTTCGTGGAGGGTGGTGTGATGATGACACTTCCACTGAATGCTGGCCACCGGGGTGCTGTCCCGCACGTGTTTATTCACAACATGTACGGCATGCTGCACGCCATGGCTGCTTACGGAGGACAACTGCAACGAACGCACTTCTACCGTCGGCCATTTCTCATCACACAGTCATACTTTTCGGGCACGCAAAGGTACGCCGCTGTGCGCCTGGGGCATAGCACGGCATCCTGGGATCATCTGCGTTTGAGCCTCATGGCCTGCCTAACGCATGGCATTGCAGGTATTTCTTTTGTTGGCGCTGATGTTGGAGGGTTTTTCTTTCAGGACATAGACGATGAGTTGTTGGTGCGGTGGTACCAACTTGCCGCGTTTTATCCGCTATTCCGCACAGATGCCAGTGAACGCACGCCGTTTCGAGAGGTGTGGCGTTTGGCGCCACATGTGCGTGCCCGTATTCGTGACGCCGTGCAGTTTCGTTACGCTCTTTTGCCTTATTTCTACACACTTTTTTGGAACGCCCACCTACGTGGCGATTTGATCCTTCGACCGTTGTTTTTTGTGTATCCGCAGGATCCCCTCGTGTACGTCAAGCCGACGCTGCTGAACCAACAGTTTTTTCTTGGTCCATATCTTTTTGTGGCCCCTGTGTTAACTCCTCTGAGATTGGGGAATGCGACGCACATTCTGCAGATGCCGCAGGAGGATTTATATGATTTTTGGTCGGGCGAGTTGGTGACGGCAGGGAAAACCTTGCTGCTTGCAAAGAACATTTCGGATTCTCTCCAATCTGAGGAGGCGGTCACGCCGCTTTTCCAGCGGGTGGGGACGATTCTGCCTACGTTTACGCATGTGAATCGTATGCGCAGCACACATGATGCGGCGAACTACACTCTGACAGTTACGCTTCCCAGTCTAGAAATGTTTTTCTCCGGAGGAGGAGGAGGCAGTGGCAGTACAGCGCAGCTTCTTGCGCAGGGTAACTTGTTTGTGGATGATGGCAGTAGTTACATCGACTATCATGCGCGCAACACCACTTATCATGCCTATTGTGCCCTTACGTTGGAGTGCGTTCTCTTCCCCAGCGAGGGTGACCTTGTGCTGAGATGGAGTGCTAGTGCGAACTCGACATGCAGTGACGTACATCGCACGCTTCAAAGCACCACGACAGGAGTGGCGGGTGCAGATTCGTTCCTCTTGACTCGTATGCGTCTAATGTTTGCCACGCTTACAGAGAGCGAGCGCGTTATGCGAGTCGAGTCTCCGGTGAACGGCCATAACAAGACTTTTGTGGTGAAGCGAAGTGCACGCCCATTATTGGAGGTTTCGGGCATGGGGCTGCCAATGTTGGTAGGGGATAGGCACAGCAATAGTAACGGCAACGGAGCCCCCTCACAAACATCGGCCGAGGTTCACATAAAGTTGAACATGACAAATGGCGCACGTGGGCCTGGATTGCTGAGACAGTAAAATACCCCCAGTCGCCCTCGTGCAAACACACTCTCTCTTGCAGCCTTCCTGCGACTGTGTCTCACATAACACATGTACAAAATCATTTTTTTTTTTGGGGGGGGGGTGTCTTCCTTTTTTGCTCGAGAGGTTTGTGCATGCGTGTGGGTGGGGGGGTGGGGTGGGGGGGGAAGCGGAGAGGCGACGCGCCGGGGAGAGGCCGCGTATACGCATTCGCTCACCCATCGGTGGCCCAACAAGCCGTGCGCCGAGAGAGAGGGAAGGATCTCTTTTGACGCTATTTATTATTATCACTTTTGTAAAAAAAAATTTTACTGAAGGGGATACGCTTCTTGTTGCCGTGTTTGTGAAATGTTGGTTTTTTGAAGTTGATGTCATGATGTGGTATGTGTTGTTGCAGTAGGCAAAATCAAACCATCGTAGAGGGGTGGCAGTCGCAGAGAGGCAACGGACCACGACAGCGCGAAAAGGCATAATATATATTGGACGCTTCGGTACCCACACAGCCCTGTCTTTTTGTGACATTTGGCCGTGGGCAAAAGGAAAGAAGGGAGTTGACAGGAAAGTGAGAGCGTTGTGCATGTATTGTGTGGGTCCGTGTGGTTCCCCGTTGTTTCTGGTGTCATCACGCGCTCGTATTTGTGGGGACAACTGTGGTGGCTAAGTGCTATCGCGATCATTTTTCTTTTATTTGCATTGATCGCCTTCTCTTCCTCTTTGTATGAAAGTAAGGGAGTCTCACTGGCACGAGCGTTGTGGCGGACGAATGTGTGACATGGAGCCACATCGTGGCGCGAAGGTGCCTTCCTCGCGTCGTCTGCAGGCGGTGACGACACCAGAACTTCTCAGGCGTGTTCGTGACAACGATCCGACGCTGGGGGCTGTGCGCATATCCCCGGAACTTCTCAATTCCCCCATAATGATGGACGCTTTGCTGCGGAATAATACCATCTGTAGCGTTACTTTTGTAAATGTGAGTCCAAAGACGGTTTCAGAGGCGACGTGGGCGAAGTTTCTTTCCTGCCTGTTTCATCTACCACTGCGTAGTGTTATTGCAGGTGGCATGCAGTTGCCTGCTCATTTCATGAGACACGTATTGGAACTTGTAGAGTATTCCTGTGGGGTCGGACGGGGCTGCAAATGGTTGCCAGAGGATAGTAACACCCTCGATGTAAAAGCTGCGGTGTCAGCAGCAGACGAGACTGTAGGTGAGGCGGCAAGCTCTTCCACGGATGATTTGAAGGCCAATGCAGCATTAGAGTTCTTTGATTTGTCGGGAAGCTACATCACGGAGTCGCATGCAAGGTGGTTGGCGCGGACGTTATTCCATCTCAGAAGTTCGCTGCGGCATGTTGATCTTTCTGAATGCCGTTTGGGCACTCTGGGTCTACAGATGTTGCTGCTGGAGGAGTCAAGTTCAAACTCGCGTCTTACCGCTGAGGTCGCGGCTGTTACAAAACTTGAGATTTTAGACCTGCGGTGGAATGGTGTTACAGAGGATTTCGGTTTTCGGTTGTTTCTTGACTCTTTGGAAATGCATTCCAAGTGCATCACATGTGTGCTGGCAGATGGGAACTACATCTCTTCTGCACTACATCAGCGGCTCGTTGATCGGAAAACCAGGATGTGGTCACTCATTACGGACCGGCGTCAGACAAGGTATGCAGAGGCGAAAGAGCTGAAGCAGGCACAACAGCGGGAGCAGCAGGCCGCTTCTTCTTGGTTTTTTTTGGACCTTCTTTTTTCTGTTGCTGCTGAGTCATCCTTGTCCTTTCCGTCTCTTAGCTTGTTGGCCTCTCTCCTGCTTACGCGTGAGTGATGGAGTGAATCGCTTGTGACGATTTCCATCATTTTGCTCTTTTTTTATATCTTTCTTCTCTTTTAACAGTTTTTGTTTTTGTTTTTCTGTGGTTTGATTCGAATTTGTGAAGATATTTTTTTTGTCTTTGCGGCTTATGCTGCCCGACTGATGTGATTTGTCTGCCACTCACAGACGTGGCACGGAGACGGACAAGCAAGCGATGTCAGCAACCAGAGGGAGCGAGCATGTGCGATTGGACAGATTTGAGCATTGTTTGATGTTCTCCCCCCGAGCTGAGGATGTGAAATATGGTTGCCCCAAAAATGCACACACACACTCTCTCTCTCTGTATATATATATATATATGCGTGTATGTGAATAGGTATTTAATAAGTTTTGCCATTGAGTGAATTGCTCTTGGATTATTTTGCTTTTGGCACTTCTCATCGTTGTTGTTGTTATTGTTATTGTTTCTGGTTATTATTATTGTTTGCTTTTTTTCCCCCAGCTTTCCACGCAGTCCCCATTTTGGCACCCGTGACCAAAAGAAAAGGATTGGGGTCATTTATATACATACATACAGTTTTGTTTTTATTTTGAAGCAAGACGGCTTCAATGCAGCGGAGTGGCTTGGCTGCGACGCGGATCAATACTGCAGGGCGACTGGCGGCGCCGCGGCCAGTGCCATCCTTCAAGCCGGTTCCATTTAAGCAGGAAAAGTTTCTTTCAATGAAGAGCCGCACCGCAGAGACCTACTTCAATACGCGGAAGCAGATCTTGAAACGATCTGCCGATGCTCAGGTGCAGGTAAGAAAGCTGCAGCAAGGCCAGAACAGGGAGGGGAACAACGCATGCTGTGAGCGAATACTACTTGGCACTCCGCTCACGCCGCACATGGCGGACGAAATAGACGTCTGGAATCGAAGCCTGAGAAATCTCGAGGCAATGCAGGGATTTGTGCTGACCGATGAGTTAATCTACAACGCCATCGCGAAAAATATTCGATTAGGGGCATTTCCGTATGCGTTGGATTGGTTAGGAAAGTGCGCGCGGGAGCGTCGAACCCCTGTTCCCACTGCTGTGCTGCATGATGTGAGGATATTTATCGATTTTTTGCAGTCGGTGCTACCGTCAAGCAATGCGAGTTTGACGAAAGCCCACGAGGCCCTTCTTGGAGGTGCACCCGTGATGGCTGGCGCAACAATACCAACTATCGCCGAGGAAACGGCTTCCGCTCCATTTCGGCCCTCAGAGGAAGAGAATGTGGACGAGACGGGTCCCACACAGCTTGTGAACTCGTCGCCATACGTGCGCTATATTTTAAAGGAACTTTACATGCCTCTATGGGAGTCTTTGTCGGAGTTAGGTCTTCTCCCACTTGAGAGAGGGGAGGCGGACTGGGAACACCTTATACGAACGACGCAGCGTAACAAGATGGTGTTGGGGTTGCTTGGCCGTCTTTGTTGTTGTTCCTGTGGTGACGCCGGCGCGTTTTCTCTTTATTCCGCTTCCTCATCACTCTCGTCCGCCCCACCTAACACCAAGACTGACAGCAACATTAAGGTCGTACCAACAGCCCTACAGGCATACACGGAGCTTCTGCTTGCCCTCCTACAGTGTGCGGCGGAAGCCAAGGAGCTGCATCTTATTATTGAACTGCAGTTGATTTTCTGCATGTTGTTTGTTGAAGCAACGCCTCAAGGCGAGTCGACGCAGGGTTGGAGACTTAAAAAAACTCTTTGGTGTAGTACTGAAGCAGAGGAGGAAATCCTTTGCCGTTTTGCAAACGAGTTTCTCGCTGCTGCGTACTATGGTAGGCTGGCGCATCAAGGCGAGATGTCCCTGCAACGTTGTGCTCGATCTTCCTCGGATGGCGTTTACGACGCTGGGGAGCAGGGTGGGGTTGGTGCCAACAGCAGTGAGGATGAGGTGTGTGCGAAAAACATGAAATGGGTGGAACATGACGAGGATGAGGAGCAGGGGCAGACTTCGCCATCGTCGTTATCTAACGACACAGTGGGGGTCGATGACTCCATAGATTCTTCTTTATTATCAACATCATCGTTAGTAATGCGACGGCAAAGGGCCGTGGATGAGGTGCTGACGCATTTACTCCAGGATGAAGCATCTGCGCTCACAGAGGCGTCTATGTATGCTGCTTTGGCGCTAGAGGACGCTGCGCTTATTCCCAACGACAACAGGATGTCCACGTCATTCTATAGCTTCTCGGGCGTAGAGGTGGAGTGGACACGACTACACTGTGATGTGTGCCGGCGGTGTCGTCTTGGAGAAAAGTGTCGCAGCTGAATTGGAAGGATTGTTCCTTCCCAGTGGAGTGGTGGCGCGAAGCCTTGAGGCGACCATGAGTAACGAGGCAGATCAGCAGTGCTTTCTGGCGCTGGTAATGGAGACTTTGGTGAGAGTGGTGGCTGCATCCACCACCCGTACAGCAGAGTGGTGGACGATGATAGTTGGAACGATGGGGGAGCTGCTGCTTCGTATTGAAGAGGTTCGGATGCAGCAGCAACAACGTGGGGAAAAAACATTGTTGTTTTTGCCTTTGTATAGTGCAGTGAGTGCCATGGTTGTTCTGTCACCTTTACTGGGCAAGAACAGACGCCCTGCCGGGGCCAAAAGTGATGAGGGTGAAATGAGAGATACTTCTGTATTCCACGATAATGTGATTCGTCTTCTGCGAGAGATCATGCAGAGTGTGCTGAATCAGCCAACGAGCTTTGGGAACGCATACAGTGTGGTGTTGGTGCTCCTCGCACAGATGGAGATGTGGGAAGACGCACACCGTCTACTGTGTAAACTCGATGAGTCCAACGAGGAAGGAGCAGCATCACATGGAATCAGCAGTATTGTTGTGGATCAGCGTGTGTGGGCTTGGCTCTTTCGGAGTGCACGGGATGCGGGTCGAGCAGATATTTGTCTGTTTCTGCGTCAAAGGCGTGAGAAGCTTTTTTATTAAAGAAGGAACTGAGACATTGCCGTTTTGTTTGTTGTTCTTGTTGTGGAAGAACGCACCAATTGCGTGCTGGTGTTATCGTAATACCACCCACATGTTGTTGCTTCCTCCCCCTCCCTCCATTGATTCTCCTCGTGGATAAAGTGGGGTTCACATCGCACGCACATGTACGAGAAAAAGTAAAAGTCGGAAATGAATGAGTGAGTTGGAAAAGATGGAAAGGGCTTGTTTGTAAGAGTACGTGTCGTTGTGGAGTCTCCTGAACACGGACCGTTTGTCACTTCTCCTCATTGCCTTCTTTGCTCTCGGTGCTGTTTTTTTTTTTTCCGTTGCCTCTGCCTTGTCATTTGTGCAGCACAGCCCGCTGGTAGTGCTCGTGGGTGTGGCATGCGCCGCACGATTGCCGCGCTCACGGCCACGCCAGAGCGTTTTTCCATTTTGGGCACAACATTTGCGAAGCCCAAACGTAATGGCTTCGGGCGCAACAACAAGATGCGTTCCAAGCCCAGCGACAACGTGGCGTGGTACGACAGGGGGCCCGTGGAGTGGTTGCCGCGGCCTGTGCGCCTCACCTACGACCACCTTGACCAGCTGCGCCATTGGATGATGCGAGAGACACTTGACGGCAAGACGGAAGAGTTCAACCGCATTCGTGACATGCACCGTGAGTGGTCGCAGCATCCGCTCATGCCGGTGCTTGGCGACGTCGAGCCAAAGTTCCCACTGAATTTATTCAAGCAAAATCACAGAGCCAAACGACGGTTTTTGATCCGCTGGCACAAGGCAAACTCCCCGGCACACTGGCTGTGGCTGCCGCGGGGGCCTGCCGTTGTCACCCAGCTGCACCACACAAACCCCTCGCAGTATCCTGAGAGTTGGCGGCAGATGGTAGGGAAGAAGAAAATAGCTGGCGGATAGCAGTAGTGTTGCAGAGATCCTCCTCTTTGGCGATCACTTTGCTGTTTTCATTTTTATTTTATTTTTTGTCTTTGCTGAGGATATCTCACTGTGGTCTTGTTGCATTTGGTACAACGGCGACTTCTTTTTTTGTCTCTTTTTTTTTTTACTCTGGCGGGTGCCTCTTTCCAGGTCCTTTTGTGGGAGTTAAAGAGAGAGAGCACATCAATTAACAAAAGCGATAAGACAACAGGAAAACAGGGGGGAAGGGAGTCAAAAGGAGTGGAAAACAGCAACAACAGTCACCACCACCACGCAACACACAATAAACTGAGGTCAAGAAGAAAAAGGAGGAGGTGGAAGAACAAAAAAAAAAGGAGTGAGGAATTTGAAATATGGATGCGTCTCATAGGCTTCGCGAGGCGCTAGCGATGCAGTTGGACTGGATAACCGTCCTGGTAACTCACCGTCGTCGTTCCTACAGCATGTGGAGGACGAAGCAGTCTGCTTTATTTGCGTTTATGCATTTCTGTTTTTTGCTGGTTTTATTTGCTCATTTTGTTAACGAAGTCGTGACGTGGGCGCTTACGTTTTTGCTGCAGACGGCAGCGCTTTGCCTCTCCTTACTTCATATCACGCTCGTCACGGACTACGCAGAAAGGATGAACAACGCAATGGAACTGGAGCAGCAACTTAACCCACTGATCATTGCGGAATTGAGTATTCGTTGCTTTGCGTTGCTTAATTGTGTCTTGATGGGTGGCTGGTTTATGACTATTGCCAGTTTGTTGGAACTGGGGTACGACTACTGGATTTTTAGGAAAAGCGACTTTCTTGTAGATGCAACAACGGCGTGGAAAAAACTTGGTGCCCTTGAGGTGGACTCACGTGTACGTTTGCTGTACCAGGCTTTTATGGTGATAGCTGCAATGTTAAACTTTGTTTTTTCATTGGTGTACATGTAAGTTTTTCTCCCGTTTTTTTTTTTCCTTTTTAAGGTCCCCTTCTTTTATTATCACCTTGCTTCCAGCGATGATGTGTTGGGGGTGACGTCGCTGCGTTACGACGTGCGCTTGAGACTATTCGTCATCGCTTGTACGTACGGTGTTCTTGATTGATTTCCTCCTTCTGTTTGTGCACTGCACGGGCTATGTGTATGCACGCACACATCTGTAATCTACAATGCATATCTCTTTTATATGCGTGTGAAAATAAAAATGTGTAAAGAAGAGGAAAGTGGAGGGGGCGTTAATAAAGAGACGAACAAGGTGACGTTGGAGATGGTTTGTATCTCTGGTTTTGGTTAGATCTTTTTCTGCTGCTGGTTTTGAGTGCTACCACGACCACCTCGAGAGTTCTTGTTAACTCACGTGTCTCTCATGTTTTTTTTTAATCTTTCGTTCTTTCTATGGTCACTTCTTACTGTGGCAAGACTGTTTTTTTTTGTTCTGTTTTGTTTTTCCCATGTAGGTCAACGGGGGTCCAAAATGCATTTGTATTGGTGTGTTGTGGCCCTCGCCGTGTTCTCGTTCACTACATTTGTGGCGTTTACCGTTGGTTTTTCTCGCCACCTTTTGAGTCCCCAGATATTATTATTGCACACCATGCGAGTCAACGCGTCACAATGATACGTTTTGGGCCTTTTTTGAGTTTGTCTCTAAACATCCTCGTCGACGGCGCATATATCACACTGAAGTATCCGGTAGACTTCTTTTACGTGAATGCGGGCATGAATGTGCAGCTGCCGAATTCCCTTGAAGGCCAAGCTCTGTCAATGAGGTATAGCTTGGACGATATTCGCTGCGAGGACTATGGGTCAAACTTTGAGCTGGGACAAGTCTTCTCACTGCTGATTATTTTCATGGCCATGTTCACCGCAGTCTTTGTCATCCTTGTCAAATCGATAAGCGCATTTCTCCCTGCCGTGTGGGTTTCCATTTGGATGGCGGTCATCATCTGCTCTGTGGCAACGTCGGCGCCATGGAAGCCTTTATGCGACAGATTTTGCATCGGCGACCCGTTGCACCAAATTCCAGAGGGAACCAAAATCACAATGCCGTCAGGAGGCCTTGCGCTCTGCCTGATCTCACTTGTCGGGTGCAATGTCGTGGTTATTCTCTCTGTGCTTCTTTAGCACCTGAATTGTGTCGACGCGCAATTTGAGGTGTGACTTATTTTTTGATGTCTGTAGTGGCAGACGTGAGCGGGACGGTGACGCGTGAAGGGCCTTGAGGACTACGTTTCTTCCCATTCGACTCCCCCTCTTTCTCCTATTTTCCTTTTTGTTATCTCTCTGTAGTATTTTTTCCTTCTTTACCTCTGCGAATTTATTCAGGTTATGACAATTGCTATTGTTATTCTGTTTCTTATTTATTTTTTTATCCCTCGTTCTTGCTACTCTCTTTTCTTTGCGTTGCCTTTTTCATCTATCTCTAAGTGCGTCTTTCCGTGGCGTTGGCTGTATCTGTCTTTCCCCCCCCCCCCCCCGCTGCGTGTATTCATGTGGGTTAATGCTAATTTATCGTTTATCAGTTTTGGTTTTGGTTTTTTATTTGTTATTTTCGTTGTTTTACGCTTTTTGTGTGAATCAGCTTTTTTTTTCCTTTCTTTAATTTCATAGACATTACTGTGGCTGTCTGTTTGCCTTTCCGTATGCGGGAGAAACGGCGAGATGAGTATGTGCACGCAGGGACAGAAGGAGGGAGAGAGAGAAGTGTGGACATGAATAAAACTTCACTGGTGGATGGTTGCAACAGTGGTATTTACGGTTTATTGTGTTGTGCCACTGTTGTTTTTTTGCATATGAAGCTTGTAGGAAGAAATTTGGGCTATGAGGGTTTGCCCCGGCGGCTTTGTCGTTTTGGTATGTTTTCCATGTTTACTTTCATTTTGGGTTATCTGTAGTGGTTGCTCAATCAGTGTAGACTGAGACTCGGCGGAGCGGCGCTGTTTGCTTTTGCTTTTTTATTGACCCTTTGACTGTCGCCGAGTAGAGTGCGTCCCCCCCCCCCCCCCCTTACCGTATTTGATCCTCTTTTTCCCTCTAGCTTTTCTCTCCCCTTAAAAAAACTGACGTGCGTAGCGCATTCTCTCTTCCTCCCACATGTTTGTATATGTGCGTGTTTGTAATCTACAGCGGAGTGTATGTGTGTGTGTGGGTAGACGCATCTGGCTACCTCTGTCGGCGCGGTCTTACGGTGCACATGGGCCTTATTATTATTATTTTTTGATTTCAAATTCTCTTTTTTTATCCTTCCGCCCTGTGTGTGCGTGTGGCTGTTTTGGTTGTTGTGATCCTTCCAGCGACTCTGTGTGTTGCCGGCGTTTGCGTTTGCACGCTCAGCGTCTCTGTTTTTTTCCCCATCTTTTCCGCGTACTGTGTAGGGAGCACAAGGAAAACAGGGCAGTCGGTCCAAAGCACGTACACACACATACGCGCAAGGAAAACGAGCGCATAATCACATGTCGGCATCGGCAACTGCCCGGGTTCTCAGCATGGGCTCCACGTGCTGCGCCAGCTGTGGAGCGTGGATGCCGCAGCAAGGGAGTTTATCCTCTTCGTCAGCGGCGATGTGGTGCCAGCAATGTGGGATCCATAATAATAATAGCAGCGGCATTCATGAACCCTACACATGTGATGCCCGCAACAACACCGCCGCCGCATTAATGTTTTCGCCGGAGGAAATTCGAGCCGCGCAGGCTGAAGTGTTGATGGCACGGGCGAAGACCGACAGAACCGCGGAGGTGGCGGTCGGCAGCATGCATGTTGACAACCGTGTGTTGGAGGAGGCTTTTTGTGACACGTGTGGTGTACACCGCCAGTGCAAAGTATTCGCACGGCAGATACGAAGTGCAGACGAGGGGCAAACAATATTTTACCAGTGCACAATGTGCAATGCGGAGTGGCAACTTAACTCTTAACTTCGTAGCTTCCATGTGTTTGCTTCTATTGTTGATGCCGTTGCTCAATAAACTTGTGTGTGTGTGTGTGTGTGTGTTCGCCGCGAGTAAGCCAGAGGAAGTGTGTGCGTGTGCGCCGTACTCCATTGAATGAGGAGGATTGCCGTAACGCGCTTCCCTGCGCCCCACAACTCCTATAGGCTGTAGTGCGTGGAGCATAACTTTTTATGCATCATCAGCGTGTAACTGTGTGGTTTTATCTCTCTTTTTCTTTATTTCGCTGCGTGGTACTTACTTTCGTTTACGTGCAGCTAATGTTCCTCTTTGATGGTGCCTGGTACCACCCTTTTTTTTTCTTCCTCTTTTAATTGGCTCTACTGTCCATCTCTCTCGCGTGCGTTGCCCCGCATAACGTCCACACACACGCATGTGTTTGTTTGTGTGTGTGTTTGGCCAACTTGTTTGTCGCACCAAATCTATTCGTAGATTACAGCCACGCGGTTTGAGGAGACGGGACGTGTGGATTGGTGTAGTTGTCGTACTTCCAGGGATATATATATATATATTGTTCTGAAGACTGAGGCAGTGTGGAGCTACAACAAGAAGGCGGTTTGTCGAGGACTTTGGGGAGGGGCATACGAAAGGACACCTCGAGGAATATGAGCTCTGAAACCACACCGCCGCAACCAGCAGCGGTGGGGAACGCGAGTAAGAGCCCCATTGTGGACAAAGCCATCAGCCTCTTCAACGCGACCGGGCAAAGTTCGTATGAGTGCAATATCGAGACCCTGCCGCTTGGTTTCCTCTCTACGAATCGCGTGGTGTCAGTGCTGGAGAAGGCCATTGAGCGGCTGGAGCTGCTGACTCTATTGGATACAACCTCACCAGAGGAAAGGGCCGCGCGCCCACTCCTCCCTGGTGGCGGTGCCACCGCGAATGCTGCAGGTGCCGATAATGCCAGGTCCTCCTCCTTCGCAGTACGTAAGGCGGTGATGATGCCTTCAAGTGGTGAGGATATGTCACGCAAGACGATGCGGGAAGTCAATTTGGCGTTGTTGGCCGTTGCAAACACGCAGCACACAGGGCGTCCCACGGTGGCGGAGTTGGTGGAGGAACGGCAACGACTGGAACGGCGGTACGGAGAGCTGCTGCGTAAGACCAAACAGGCTAAGCCGAGTCCCAATGAGCCTGAGCTTGACCCCAGCTGCTTTGCCGCCGTTGAAGACACCGAGCGGGCAGTTGTCATGGAGGAGCTCAAGCAGACTTCGCGAACCTTGCGAGAGCATAACAAGGCGCTTTTCATTCAACTGAAGGATAACCCACATGATGCGGATAACTGGAAGAAAATTGGAAATGAGCGGTACGAGTTGACGCAGTTGCTTCAGTCTTTAGTGCGGGAGCTAACAACAGGGTATAACACGGCAAGGCTCTCTGTCTCTACAGGAGGATTGCAACGCATCAACAGTAAACGCCAACGCTTTGACAACACGGAGAGTTTGGGCGCAGAGTCTAGAGAAGCTACAATGTCTTTAACTAAAAATCGTTTTGGTAGTACCATCCAAATGAAGCGAAGCACGCGAGTCCCTTCAGCACCACGCGTTCCGCTCATGTCTTCCTTTGAGAAGTTCGCCAAGCTGATTTTGGACGAGCAGAATGCCCAGCGTTGGGCCGACGAGCTTCTCATCAAGGAAAAGGAAATGAATCAAAATGTGAAGCAACTGCAGTACGATCTCAAGGCGGAAAAGGCATTAAAGGAAAAGGATATAGCAGAGCGTCGCCAGCAAATTGAGAAGTTGAAGGTCAAACTACGCCTGGAGAAGAAGCAGGTGAAGCAGCAGAGTGAGATGGTGCGTGCCGAGGTAGAGGCCTCGCATGAGGCGCGGCAACGAAGTGCCCGTGAGGAGGAGCGCGTTGTGCTTGATAAAATACGTGGATTTGAGCAGGAGGAACACATGGAGAACCGGGTGCACGCGGATTTTAAGGAGCATATCATTGAGCGCACCGAGGCGATGGATGAGCTTGCGAATCAGTGGGATAGAAAGAACCAGAGTGAGATCAAGCGGGTTGAGGCGCGCAAGATTGATGTAGAGCAGATGCGGCAGAATTGTGCAGAGCGATTGGAGAAGGCATTGCAGGATAAGGAGTTTGAGATGCAGCTCAAGCAACAACGCGATGATGAGAGACGAGAGGAGGAGTTGCAAAGAACGGCGGCGGAAACTCAGGCGAACTTGGAGTACGATGCCGTGTCGCAGATTCAGTCTGCAATCCGAGCCATGTTTACACGACAAGCTCTCACTGTTCTTAAGAAGAAGAACAAGAAGAAGCGCAAGGCGGAAAAGACCCAAACCCGGCAGTGAAGTGAATGTTGAGGACCGGGAAACTAATAGTGCACAGTTCCATCTTATTTATATGTTCATTGGGTGTGTAGATACGCATGCATATGAATGACTGAGAAAAACTGGAGGAAGAAAAATTGGTCATGAATGAATGTCACCTGGATAAAGCGAGAGGGATCATGTTTGGAGGAGGTATATCTGTATCTATCTATTTGTGTCAATGGATATATATATATATATATATGTTGGGTTTTCTTGCTGTTGTTGGTTAGTTTGCACCTGTATTTCTCTTTTTTGTACTTGTTGTTGTTGTTTTCACATTTACTCTCCGCCACCACCTGAACTTCAATGGTGATGTTTGTATGTATAGAACGTGATAGGCACATGTATCACCGCTTGGACCTTCATGGAGGGGCAAGCTCGGGTGCAAACATGGAGTTGTTGTTCGATTATTATTATTTTTTGTGCCTTCTCTGTATATTCGTATCCATTCCTCTCTTCTCTGTCCATTTGCGCTATCTGCTTCTTGCATCATTGTTGCGCATGAGGAAGATGTTGTTTGATTTTAATGTTTCCTTTTATTGTTATTATTCGTTTGAGGTGGAGGTGGGTGTTGTTTTGCGTACGACACTTCCGCATTGTACTTTCATTTAAAAAGTGGTCTGTAGTGTGTGTGTGTGTGTGAACTCCAATGCGGCGACGCACCCCGTCGATGCAGCGGCAGAAGCGTTACAAGCTCGAGGGGGAGCAGCGGCAGCAGCCGGCGGTAGAAGCCGTGAAAGCGACGCCCCACACGACTATGCAGCACAAAAAGAGAGGCAGTGCCACACCCATGACGGAACAAGAGACGGCCACATTGTTCCTGGCCGACCTGGCACCCGCCGCCGCCCACACGACTGGGACTGCCGCCGTCGTCCCCGCTTTTGCCATAGAAAAGGCATTGACTGATGGGAATAAGGAAGAAAGCTTAGCGAGCGCAAGGAGGCGTGGTAAAAAATCTCCTCTAGTGCGAAAAACCGCATGCGAGGGGAAACATGCCTCTGCCTTTACAAAGACGTGTAGCGGCGCTAAGCCCTCTGCGTTGGGGCAAACGGAACTTTCAGCGTTGCCGCTTGAAGAGGGCGAGGAGGATCCTTCTGTCGCGACGGAGGTGCTGCGGCAAACCGCCGCATTTCTTGCACGTCTCACGCCAGCACGATCGAAACAATTTTGGGTTTTGCGTCAAGTGGCACGTGGTGAATTGGGTGGTCGGTCGGCCGCGAAATTGTCAACCACAGTGCCTGCATCCGATGATGATGATGAAGAGGATGAGGATGAGGAGGGAGTTGATCTTGCGGCGAGCGAAGATGAAATGTCCTCTTCCTCAGAGGAGGAGAATATGTCGCCTCCACTGCCATCACCACCACCTACAGCAAAGAAAATGAATGCCTTTGACAGTAGTAAGCGGACGCAGGATACAAAGCGTCGTGGTGGCGGTGCACTATTTAGCAGTAACCCGGATGTTTGGGAGGATTGAAGGAGGGTGGCATGTCTTGCAGCTTCCCTTCATTTCGGCCGTGTCTACCTCTCTATTCACCCACAACGGATGTGGTATGTTTGTTTGTGGTGCTGTGGCGTGATGCGTCGTGGACACCCACCTTGGAGGAGGAGGACGAATGACGGTTAACCAGAAGAAATAAAGAGATCAATAATAATGGGCGGCAAAGCATCACTCAGCGCATTGAAAAGGAGGCAAAGGTGGTTGTCGTTGACGGCTGGTGCATGACAGTCTGTGTGTTTGTATTTCTCTATTTTTGTGGGCATTTTTCTGTCTAACCTAGTTTGCTCTTATTTCCCTTCCTTGGACCCTTTTCGAATACTTCGACGTTGTATTATGTGCTGCATTGTTTTTTGTTTTTGTTTTTTCATGGCCTTGTTTTTTTTTCTTCTCTCTCTCTCTTGTGTGCTTTGGTACGTGTAGGATAATATTCCGACCTTGGCTATGAATCCCTCCATCTTCACTGCGTTGTGCAATGTTGTCGCATCGCTTTGCACACATAGCTTTGAGCTTAGCATCATATTTGCCGCGTCCGTGATCGCCTATGCCGTTTCACTGCACTTCATGCAGCCTGTTTGCCGCAAACTTTTAGAGCGTCATATTCGGGGAGTTGATATGGGCAAGACGACGCCAGAAACACGGAAAAGGATTGTGGAAACGCCTCTGAACGCACTTGAAGAGGAGGAGAAGCGGTTGATTTTACCGGAGTCTCTTGGCATTTTCGCTGGTGCGGTGTATTTGTGTGTGTTGGTGGTGGAGTTAGCGGTGGTGTTTGGCCCCGGCATGCGTAAGATGGATGGAGCGGTCACAACCATCACAGTGATGCTATTGCTGGGATTTGTGGACGATGTTTTGGATCTTCGCTGGCGGCACAAGCTTCTCCTCTCAGCTATTGGCACATTTCCACTGATGCTTACCTACGACGGAAGCGTGTCCATCGCAGTTCCGCGTCCACTACTGCCTTTTTTTTCCAGCTCTTTTGTGTACCTTGGCGTGTTTTATCTTCTGTACCTTAGCCTGTTGTGTATATTCTGTACGAACAGCATTAACATTCTAGCGGGTGTGAATGGGGTAGAGGTGGCGCAAGCCATCGTCATTGCCGTGACGTGTATTGTGTACAACATTTTCCGGATGCGGTTAGAGAGGGAGTCACTTAACACGTCCGCTGGTCATAGCGACTCCCACCTCAATCCTCATCTTTCGGTGGCAGAGGGCGGTGGTTCACTACATGAACTAATGGCGATTTCGCTCTTGGCACCGTTTGTGGGTGTCAGTGCGGCGTTGTGGCGCTATAATCAATACCCTGCCCGCATCTTTGTGGGCGACAGCTACACCTACTTTGCGGGAACCGTGCTTTCCGTCTCTGGGGTGACAGGGCATTATGGCAAGACCCTTATTCTCTTTTTCATCCCGCAGCTTGTCAATTTTATTATTTCCCTTCCACAACTGTTTTATATTGTGCCTTGCCCGCGTCATCGGGTTCCACGTTGGAATGCAAAGCTGAATGTGCTGCAGAACAGCGGAAATTACACTCTTCTGAACGTTATATTGTGGATTTGCGGGGACATGCATGAACGAGATCTCACCAACGCGGTGCTGAAGTTGCAAGTCTGCTGCTGTGTTTTTTCCTTCGTGATGCAGTACCTCTTTGCTTCCTATCTTTACGATCAAATCTCCTAGTAAACATCAAAAGGAGGGGGAGTCTCTGCTTGTTATGTATGAGCCCCCATCCTGCATGGTATATTTATGGTTAGTGACAGAAGAGACCCACTGAGAGTGTGAGAATGGATACATTGTGTATTTTATTTTTGTTTATCCATATACATGTATATATATATTGTTGTTGTTGTTTTTTTTTTTTTACTTTTCGTTGTGTTTCACTCAAAGCGGCGAAGCAGGTACCTCAGCCCACACTTAATTTTTTGCCGAAGGAGACCTGGGCGTCTGGTAAGTGAAAGAGGCTGGAGTGGTGAAAAGGAAGAAGGGGGGGAGAAAGAAGACAAGAAATAATACATCGCAATAGGCAAACACGCACAAAAAGCAGTCTACCCACGAGAAGATATCATCCAGTAATAAAACGAAACAGCAGCAGCAAGTGCGTAACGATTTGTTTTTGGTGTTGTACTCTCTTGACTCTCTCAGTTAAATGGTTATGGGGGATTTGGCCTCTGCAACTACTGACGGTGCCAGTTATGGCAGCAATGACGCTGCTGCTGCTGCTGCTGCTTCTGCCGCCGCCGCCGCTGGTGTTGGAAGCAGTAGTGGTAATAATAATAGTGGTGGTGGGAGTAGCTTCACTGCATACCACTTCGCGTCCTTTGCCGCGATGGAGGTGACAGTGACGATGGTGCCGCGTTTTACGATGCCACGCGTCTCCACTGCGTTTGGGGGTCGTTATGGCCCATTCGCTCCTAATTACCCGGTAGAATTGCCACTTTGGCTCGCCCTGCACATTCGTCAAACAGACACATGCACGATTGCCCCGCCGCCCTTCACGATGATACCGTACCTGCGCAATGTGGTCGAGAAGGAAAAGGAGAATGAAGCGACCTTTGAGGCGCTTCCCTTCTACTTCTTCGAGGTGGTGAAGAAGCTCTGCGAGAACAGCGCGGCCGCGGAGGATGTGCCGCACGTGGCAGAAGTCATTCGTCTTGTGGCGGAGGTCAAGGCGATACGGCGGCAGAAGTTGCTGAGGAGTATGTCCGTGTTTGAGGCGGATGGATCCCCTGTGTACATCCCTGGTATCAAACTCACCAACATTGTTAATAATGAGCTGGAGTACCTGCGAAGGTCCTTTGCAAAGGTTCTCCAGCAGGCGGCAGAGAAGAAGCGTCGCAGAGAACAGGTCATAGGTGGGGCTGTGGAAGGCACTACGCCGCTGCGGCCAAGCAGTGGGGCGCCTCCGACGATAGCATCCTCATCCATCTCGGCAACAATGGACACACGAATGTCAACACACAGTGGGCTCGGCAGTAGTTTTTCCGCCGGCACCGTTGAGGATACACCATCTGCCGTGGCAACGCTGCGGAGTGCCGAGCAACTGCCAACGCCTAGTGAAGACCTGATATCCACTGCCTCTTGGGCAGGGGAAACAACAGAAACGCTGACCCCTGCAACAGAGAGTGTTATGCCACCTCCATTGAAGAAGAGGCGGACGTTGCGGCAGACTTAATGAATACTGCTCTATACAGTTACATGCACACACACACACTTTGGCCCAAGACATGTGTTCAAGAGAAGAGACAAAAGCTGGAGAAGTTGTTGTATGATTCTTTTTCTTATTATTGTTTCCCCCTTTTTTGCTCTTGCTTCTTTCGCTCTTACACTCCACACCATTGGTAGTTAAAATAGCCCCAAACTCCCGTCACGGTATAAGTAGGTGCTGGTGTGTAAAACGAAAAAAAAGAAAAAGCAAAAAAAAAACAGGCGTGCAAACAAAGCAAAGAAGTGTATCAAAACGGAACCATACACTAGAGAAGAAGCAGAAGGACAATAAACAAATACGACTGAAGAAGAAAAGGAGAAAGAGTTATTTGTTATTAGGAACATGGAACTTTTGCGTTCTACGAAGTATGTCTCGTCATTTTTTGCGCTACTCGAGAAGTTACACTACTCCCCTGGAGACACGCTGCGTGGCGTGGTTGAGATTGTGGTGGAAAAGCCAGTTTCTTACACCACACTTGAGGCCTGTATTATAGGCGAGGAGATTACGCAGTTAGGTGTGGCGCTGATGAGGCGGATCGACATGCAGGCACGCCACACGACATTCTACCGTCAGAACATTATACTGGCGGGTGATCCTCCCAACCCTGGGACACGCTCTGTCTCCCATGAGGAGTACGGCAAATGTGTGAGTAGCACCATGAATAGCCCCGCGGAAGACTCGAGTTCCACGCACGCTGTTACAAAAGGGCTTACGCCCGGGACGTACACCTTCCCTTTCTCCGTGCAGCTACCAGATGTATTACCGCCATCATACGTTGATAAACGCAACAGTGGCTTGTCAAAGCTGTCGTATCACGTGCGTGTAAAACTCCTTAATGGAAAACGTTTGTTGGTGAAGCACAAAGCGTGCTTTAGTCTCAAGATGCTTCCAGTAAACCCGAAGCAGTGGATTGACGCGCACATGAATTCGAGCTCTTGCTCAACTGTTCTCCCCCAATCATCAGTCGTATCAGATGGCATGAATGGTGCAACGGCGCAACAGAATTTGAGTGAGAGCAATGCGGCAATCAGAACGGTCTTTATTGATCACTGCATCTCTCTGAGCAATGTGGCAAAACCCACTGTCGAATGCGACAATGTGAAGTTGGGGATAGAGAGTGGTATTTCTTTGTGCAGCGCGCAGACATTGGAAGATAAGGCTAAGCACGATTCTGTTAGGGGGTATAGAAGAGTCCCTGTGCATAATTGGACGATAGTCAAATCCGCGGACCATAGCAACGAGAGAAAAAAAGGTGAGGATACTGAAAAGAACTGGGCTTCTGCAGCAAAGGAAGAAAGTAAAGGGAAACCAAAAGCTGGACAGGCTCCAGCTGAGTCAGGGCGAGGGGCAGCTGCGGACGACCTCCCTGCCGCCTTTTTCAAGGACACCCCTGCTTTGGTATGTCAGATTGAAGTTCCCATGTATTGCATCCTTAAGAAGGGCTTTGCAAATGTGTGTCTTACGGTTTTTCAGGTCATTGGCACATATGGAACCCCAATCAGATTTTGTGGCGTCATTGACAATACGAAAGGTGTGTCACCTGTGAAAAAAATCACCTTCCGGCTCGTTAACCGGACCATTATGAGGTCGCTCGTGGAGGAACATTACTATGGTACCTTATTGGTAGAGAAGGTGATCCATGAAACGGTTCCTCGAGGACAGAGCTATGGGATTTCAGAAACACAGTTGGTCATCCCTACTGACTCTCCGTTGACGCTGCTTACACCTGGGTACTCGAGCCGCATCTTTCTTGAAGTTAAGCTCTCCTACGGCAGCAATCTTGTGAACCAATCGGGAGTAGCAGGAGTGGAGATTGCTGTTGTGGACCACTTCGTGGACTCGGAAAACTCTCAGCTTTGTGGGCAGTGGACCAACTACTATGGTCAGGGGCTAAAGAAAAAAGCGTGTTCCTCGCCAGACATCTTTTGCTCCTTTACAAAAACAGGAGCCATGAAGGTTATTCAGGCAGGTGGGGAGCGGGATCATGACTCCCCTTGCTACTCATGCCCTTCCACAGCATCCAGTCAAGAGGAGATTGAGGCACCGGGAGGAAGCCAGGAGAAGAGTGTGCTCAATTTTGATGAGGTTGTATACTGCGCACACCCTGTGAGTGGAGTTAATCCGCTGAGTCATGTTTCCTGAGATACACGCATTTGATTGAAGTAAACGACGTTATTCCTTACGCAAGCATAGATTGACAATAGCAACCAACCCCGCTGTTACCAACTACCTACTGCAGCTGCTATGATGAAACAGGAAAGAGGAGAGAGGGAGCGTGAACACCGTATTGGTGGCGAAGAAGAAGTCCTCCTTGAACGAGTAATACTCCCCAAGGTGTTTTACCTGAGAACAGGAAATAACTACAAAAAAAAAAACATGGATGAAGTTGAATTTCCTGTGCTTCTCCTCCATCTGCAATCAATAAAAGGAGGGAAAAAAAGGGAACACATCTATGCGGAAAGAAAGAACGGGAGTGACAGCGAGATCTAAGAAAAAAAAAAAACTGAGAGCTCTGTTTGTTGTTATTGTATGTGTATGTGAACGTACTTTTTTTTTTATATTTGTATAACCCGATCCATGTTTTGTTTGTGTATTGATCAATTTTAAACTTAGTTATTCCTTCGGTAGAAATATACCGAGCTAAGGCAGAAATCTTTAGGACCAACTACATATAATAATGCGTTATGGTGAACTTTCCATGTTTATCTGTCTGTAGTAATGATTTTTTATTGTTGTTTTCAAGCATATTGCCTCGTAAAGTAGCGAGGAAGTTTTCCTTCTGTCATTTATCCCTAAACCGTATACTACTAATAATACACTTGCACGGGGATGGGCCCGATGGATGCAGGGGGGGGGAGGGACCTAAAGACTCTAACTCGACAGCACTCCTGGTCATCATGGGCATATTCCTTTCGACCTTTTTTGTTTTTGTTTTTTTGTGTTATTGGCGTTGTTTTATCACGATGTGACTGTGTGTTGAATGAATACACGCGATAGTGGGAGTGTTGGTTGGGTTAAATATAAATATCACTAGGGCCTTTCCAACTTGTGTTTTTTTTTGATTTATCTAGGAAGAGCTACGAGGGAGAAGAGAGGGATACCTAGACCTCATTCGGGCGGGCACTCTGTATGTTTTTGGATAATGAATGGCATACTTTGGTGCTTGCTTTCTCAACTTATGCGTTTCGTATTCTTCCATGTTTTTTTTAGATTAAACTGTTGTTGTTGATCCCCATCCACTTTCTTTTTATGTTGGGTTGCTGAAGCATTCACCGTTATCTTTGTTGTTTTGCTCTGTTGGCTTACCTGGTGTCCCCTGCGATGTTCCTACACCGAAAGGGGGGAAAGAATGTCTGCGAGTGCATGAGGAACATGCAACGAGACGAAGCAAGCAAAGAGAAGCGTAAGCAAAACAAAAATGAAAAGTAGAGGTGATGCGGGACGAGCTGGGAAAGGAATAATGTGAAACATCTTGGTGACCTGCATGCAGGAGGGGGTCCTGCGCTGCTGGCACCATTGAAAATGTGCATGTGTTTCTTGCTGTGTCTGTGTGTGGTGCTTCAGTTGTGTTGTGTTGGGTTCTTTTTGGTTGTTTTTTCCCCATGGCGGAACAGTCCCTCTCTTTTTTTTCCGTTTCCTTTTTTTTTGTTTGTTTGCTTTTTCCTGCACATGCGCCCCGTGTCGCCATCACATGTGCAAAGCAACAGCGAAAAGAGGGAGTGTCAGCGCGGAGGGGAAGCAGTTGAGAGACGCGAAAAAGGGATTTCAGCGACACGAGAGCTCACAAGATCGCCAGGAAGGAGGCGAGACGAAGTGACCGGGCATTGTTGCGTTTTTTCACGCACACACAGATAGAGAGGGAACGTGTGGGGCGAAAAAGCAGCAACAAGGGAAATCATGGAGAGCTTCTCACCCTTTCGCGTTGTGGGGAGTGTGTGCGGTGACGTGCCCATCAGCAGCACGACGTTGTATGGAGCCCCCGTCTTGATGGTTGCCACGGGTCGCACTTTTCAGTTGTTTCGCGGGAAGGAGTTGTCCATGCTGCGTGGTGGACCTCATTTTCTCAACCGCGTACGGGCTGTAGCACAGGCAGGCAAGTACCGCTTCGTTGCCGAAGGCCCACGTGTGCATGCCTTTACACATCACAAGCCACTTTGGACGTGCCTGCACCACGATATTACACAGAGCAAAGTGAATTACCTTCTTGCCGTTGATGATCTTCTGTTTTGCATTGGACAGGACAAGCGGGTGGTTGTGCGAGGGGTGAAGACTGGGAAGCTCCTTGGGGAGTTTCTTATTGAACGCAGTGAGGAGGTGCGTGCGGCTGTTGTGCCGGCTGGGTATACGAACAAGTTGCTTGTTGCCACCACCGAGGGGGCGTTGCACCTGTATAACTTTAAGACGGGTGTCTGCCTGTGGCACGCGCGACGAGAGTTGGGATCCCAGATGTTGTCCCTTGCAGCTAGCAACTATAAAGACATCATCGCCTATGGCACGAGTCGAGGCCGGGTAGTGGTACTTAACCTTCTTACAAATGAGGAGATTATGACCTTTGAGCATAAGGAACAAAGCGCTGTAACTGCGTTGGCGTTTCGCACGGATAAAAGCATCTTGGTGTCTGGAACAAGTGCAGGTGAAGTGGTTTTGTGGGATCTTGAGAACCGCTGCCTTGAGGGTGTGCTCACACGCAGTAAACAGGTACGCTCCGAGGCTGAAGTGTTGGAAAATCCACATACCAACGTTGTACATTCCATTTTGGTCCTGCCTACGGATAGCGCCACCATTGTGACGGCGGGGGCCGATAATGCGATGCTGCAATTTAGGTTTGACACCGTGGATGGTCTCGGGACACTTGTACGTGAGCGTCGTGGGCATATGGGTAGCTGTACCACCGCTCTTTTTTACAATACCGATCTACTGCTTACCGCTGGAACAGATCGAGCGCTGCGTGTGACGCACGTCTTTTCCGATCGTGCTTCCTGGGAATTGTCACAGGGAAAACTGGGTCGACGTGGTCGTGAAAAACAGATGGGTCGTGAGGCGCTGAAAATGACACCGGCTATTGCCATGGCCAGTTCCACTGCGAGAAACTATCAGTGGTCCAGTGTTGTATCCTTGCATGAAGCCTCTGCACAAATGTGTGGCTGGCGCATGGATACACGTGCCTTGGAGTGTAAACTTAGTGGTATTACAACTTCTATGCATACAGCGCGCTCCATTGCCTTAAGCGATTGCGGTAATTTTGCCGTTGTTGGGTATTCTAGCGGCAATGTGGCTATCATCAGCATTCAGAATAGGAGTATCAAACAACTATTTGATGTTGCACTTGATCCAAACGATCGTGCTCATACCAGCTCTGTGGAGTGCGTTGAAATTGCCTGTGGCAACAGTATTGTCATCACTGCGGGCCTGGATGCACGTATCAAGTTGTGGGATCTTATCACGGGTCATCTGAGGTCCACCATAAAGGTGGACTGCCCGATGCATAAGTCATGCGTTCACCAGCCTTCATCGCTCTTTATTGTGGCGCAGCACTTCACAATTCGTGTCTATCACTGTAACCCTGATGTGGGGCTCAGTGAGGATGCCCTCGCAACACCTGTGCGAGTGTTTGACGGACATAATGGTCCCATCACAGCTTTGGCTTTGGCACCTGACACTTACCGTTATGTTGTGTCTGCCTCTGGTGATGCCGCGCTACTCGTCTGGGATCTCGCAGCGGCTGCTTGTGTCGGTCAGTACCGACTTGCCTCCCCCGCTCTTTCGCTTAGCTTTCACCCAGATGCACTCTTTATGGTCTCTACTCACACGGGTGAACGTGGCGCGTACTTGTGGTCGAACAATTTGCGTTACGGGTTTGTGCCGGAAGTTGTGACGGAGCCGAATGGGCGGTTGGTGGAGCAACTGCCGCTTTTACACTTTCCCACCGCACACGGCGAGGCTGAGTTGCAGGAGGATGAACCACAACACCGCCAAGACGATGAGGAAGAAGAGGGTGCCGTGTTGGAGGCGGGCAATGGAGAGGGGATGCATCATAATGGCCATCAACAACTGGGCGCAGCAGGGGACGAAGCAGAAGCAGAGTTGTTTGATGCATCGAAAGATACGGCACTTATACGGCAACAACGGGAGCTGCAGCAAATGGCACAACTCGATGAAATTGTTTCTGGTGGATTACGACTCGCCGGCGTACCCCGTTCCTTGTGGTTTAACCTCACATTGCTGGAGCAAATTAAGGAGAAGAACATGCCACTATTACCACCTAAGAAGCGTGACATTCCCTTCTTTCTTCCCACAACACAAGAACTACGTCCTACCTTCCTTGTATTGGCGTCTGCGGGAAAAAGTGGGGAGGCTGCGGTATCGCAGACGCATGTTGTTGGCGCATCCCTTTCAGAATTGACGCAAGTGCAACGCATGTTGATGGAAGACGCGCATGACGACTTGATGATCTACTTGCTTGCGCTGAAGACCCCACAAGCCATTGACTTGGAGATTAAGCGTGCTGTGGAGTATACCGATGGTGTTTCCTACTCGAAGGAGGAACTAGACCGTATCATGAGGTGTGTCCACAGGCTTTTTTCTTTTATCGCAATGTGGCTACGGCGACGTGAAAACGTGGACCTCGTGCAAGGTATTTTGGCCGATGTTATCCGTTCCCATGGCGCACTGTTAACCAGATGTGGGGGGGATATGGTGGATGTGCTTGAGGAAGTGGCGCAGCTGCAGAACGCGGTGCGGCATAGCATGGACCACTTGGTGGGCTACCCGAGCTGCCTGGTTGGTACATTTTCGGGTTCACTCTTTTAGTGTTCTTCGGGCTGCCCTCCTTTTCTTTGCTTCACTTTCTTCGTGTATGCGTGGATGAGGGGAGGTTTGCTTGGAGGAGGAAACGGGCATGAGAATTGTGAAACAAGGGAACAAAAACAACGTTAACTACAAGAATGAAATGAAAAGAAATTTGTCCTAAATATGTTAGGCGTTTTATTTTTAAAACACGCGCCTACTGTCGTATAAAAGTTCAAGGAATCAAATAGTTACACATAAACTCATCTCACAGAAAGGTGACGGCAATGCTTGTGGAGGCCACCCCACCTGGGTGAGCGCGACGCACGCGCACACATGCGTATTTTATTTGTAACTAATTACATCTTGGCTCTCCTTTCCTTCATGCATATATGTATATCATTGTGTACATTTCAATGTGTGCGTGTTTCCTGTCGTTGTTTTTTAGGTTTTTTTTTTTTTTTTTTGGTTTTTTTTTTTTTGGGGGGGGGGGGCGGGGGGTTCTTTCTGTGGGTTCTTATCGTGCCCGCCACGAAGGGAAGGTGCGCATGTCCACACGGAATTTTTCCGTGGAGGATGCGTCTTGCGGATTCCGCCCAGTGATCAACCGACACAGTCGTCGTCTTGCGAGTGGACTTCTTCCCGTGGAGGAGCGGCAGCAGCATGACATTGTGCGGCGGGAGCAGAACCGGCAGAAGCTTTTGGCCAAGGTGGAAGAAGAGCGTCAGCGCAACGAGACGTTCATGCCCGTCACCAACCCGCGTGTTATGCGCAGTGACGCCGTTGTTGATAGTCATGAGAACAGTCGGACTGCACTCATTCGCAAAGTGCGCTCGGCCTCCAAGGAGGAGACATTTCGTCCTATCATTAACGCCAAAAGCCAGCTCATGGTCGCGGATGGCACATGGCAGAGTTCGCATCAGCAGTTGCAGGAAGTTCGTCAGCGCGTACAGACATTGTGGCGCACCCACGCCGGTATTGGAAGTGGCGAAATCACGCTCAGTGGCGTGTACGCAACGCTTCAGGAGTTGGGTTTGCAAGTTCCTTCCGCCATAGTTGATAAATTTCTTCTGGCTCTTGGTTTGGATGAAGCAGCTGGAGTGCGTTGTGTGGCCTACGATCGGTTCGTAAAGGTTTTTACAATTGTACTTCGCGCCGCCCTTCGTTCCGTTGCTGGGGAAGACAATGGTATCGGTGCGTGTGACGCGGATCGTGCCACCTCGGCCGGTGGCGGAGAGAATCAGGGAATGGAGGATGAACCCCCCCGTCCACGCGCTATTTCTTCACTGGGCTCCATGCCCACGATGCGCCGCGTCAAACTTACCGAGTCTCTTGCTGCTGGACGTAGGAAAATAGTGATGGACGCGTCTCCTCTCATTGCATCCAAAACAGCTGTACCTGTCTTGCAGCGATCCTTACGGATGACAAACAGTTGTATCGGCGCCGCTTCTCATGACGGAGAGAATAGTTCCCCTTCCCCCACTGCACCGTCGCGTGGCGGCTGCCCCCGAGTCTCTGCGGTGCGTGGCTCGCAACTTTCCGAGGAATCGCCTGGTCTGAGCTGTAGCCTTCAGCCGCGCCTGCTTGAGCGGACAAGGCAGAAGAAAACAGCATATGACCCGCTTCAAGGATGTACATTTGCCCCAACAATTAACAAGAGAGTTCGAGTGGCGTCATCCAAGCTCCTAGCTGTACGTGAAGAACAAAAGAAGGAGGAAGGAGGAGAAAAAGAAGGACCGTTGATGCAGACTAAATGCAGCTCTACGGTCGCGCCTTATAAGTCAAGGGATGAACAGGAGTTGGAGGAGTGTACGTTTGTCCCCAACACAGCCCGCTTCCACAAGGACCGTGATTCCCTGGCTTGGTGGAAGCGCGAGCCATTTGTAGGCGTGGGCACGGAGTCCACAATGGCCTCCTCTTTCCCGTCTTCCCTTGCAGCAGAAGACCCCTCCGTTAAAGGCAGTGCGGACGAGGGGGGAGGGGGAAAACTAGAGCGATGCGACAGGAGCAGTAGGAGTGGTTGCCATCCCTATCACCATCATCATAGTACTAGTCGCCGTCAGCGACCGGAAGTCCTAGTTGGGCGTCCATCGCCTGTGCCTCTTGCTGTGGGCTTTGACAAGGCGGTGCAGCGGATGACAGAGGCGAGGAAAAAGTCTCGACCCAAGTTTGAAGAACTGCTGCGCTCCTCTACGGAGGAGCCTCAGAAGCCCATACGACCAACGGTCGTGGAGCCGTTTTCTCTGCAAGCAGAAACGCGGCACTTGCGTCGAGAGCAACAGAAACCGGTGTTGTACGTTGATGTGGATTTACCGAGCGGAAAGACCGGCCGCATTGGTGTTCACAGGGGAGATGAAGCAGCAAGTCTTGCAAGGCGCTTTAGTAATGCGTATGGTTTGAATGAAGAACTGCGTCAACGACTGGAGTCGTTACTGACAGAAAAGCTGAAAGAACTCTTACAGGAACATGGGCACACACTATGGCTTTGAAAAAGTCTACGTGCGTATCGGGGGAGGTGGGTAGCCGGGGGGATATTGGCTTGCGCATGGACTTAAGAGTATGCGCGAGGAATTTAATTAGACCGCGTTTCCACGGAGTAGACGAGGCGGAGAGCGATACCGGACAAAATGAGACAACGACAACAACATTATTACATTTTGTCCCGATGAATTATTTATTTATTTATTGTTAAGGGTAGCGGAAGGTATTAAAAATAGATGCGTAGAAGTGCATATACTCTCTCCCTTTAAATGCTTGTGCCCAGTGCTTGTCAGTACGCACCATAGAAGCATGCAGTGATGGGGTGTCAACCCAAAGAATCAACGGAAGGAAATATGTCTCTCATTTGTTGCGGGAACCTTCTTTTTTTTTTGTGTGTGTGTATACGTGTCTGGACTCACAACAGTTTCTTTCATGAATAAAGATATATTTATTCACTTAAAGACTACAACAGACCCCTCGCTGGGAACTTACTAAGAGAGCCTATGGGTTCCTGCAAGCATCCTCGAGAAGCGAGTGATGCGCAAGATATCCGAGAGTTTTTTTGGCGGGCAAGGGAGAATGCCGCACTACAGCGGGGCGGGCCATTCTTCCTTGAGCGCATTCTCTTCCCCCGTCTTAACCAACTTCATTGCGGACGCGGTGGCGTAATGCCGGACCCGACGCGCGTGTCTTGTGAAAATGGCACAGGTTCATTCAAACGGCACGGGGCCCTTGTCCTGCCTCAACGAATAGAAGCTTCCGCGCAGCTTTGTCGGTGGCAACTACTGCAATTGAATGACCTTCGCCGAGTTGTGCCACAGGATTTAATTCTGACGTCGTCAAGTCCTATCACGGACGTTGTATTTGACATGCAGGAGGAGTTTGCCGTGGCATGTCAAGCGCAATGCCTTTCTGCATACAGTACAGAGAAGTGGCTCGACGACCACGGGGCGGCTGATGAGTTCAATTGCGCTTCCCCGTTGGTTAGAGTGCGGGCACGTGAACAGAGTAATGTGGGTTTTGGCTTCTCCTCCGTACAGTTTATCTCATCCTCGCTCCACCTTATGGCAGGCTACCACCGTGCCCCGGTAGTTGACATCTTTGATTTGGAAGAGGTGGACGAGAGCACCTACGAACCGCAGCAACGCTTCTCGTTGACGGAGGATTGTGCCAGTGTTCACGGAACAAGGGGCGGCCGCGCCGGGACCAGTGTTGACACAAATGCCGGAACCATCTGTGCGAATGATGTAGTGGCAGTTACGGAACAAGTTGGCTTGGCAGCACTTTCCTCTGGCCGTGCTGTGTGGCTAGATCGTCGCACCGGTGCCGCCATTCCGTGTACCGGTAATTTTGCACAAGTATATAGCATTGGGCAACAAGGCTCTCGAGCTGCCATGCGTGTCCCACTCACTGCCGTTGCATTTCTCTGCCGGGATACTCCCATAAACGTCTTGTGTGGAACCCAATCCGGGGCTGTACAGCTGTGGGACACGCGTTGTGTTCGTGAATGCATCGCCGTGCATCAAACGTCCTCCGCCATCTGTCGTTTGCACCCTTCCTACGCTTCGTCGCTGCGAGACACCGTGTGGCTCAACAACCACGTTGGAGAAGTGCAGGGAATTAATGTGGGGCATAGTGATATTCGCTTGATCGCGGAGACAAAGTTTGCCGAAGTCACGAGATTAGGTTTTATGCCTCGTTTGCCGTTGCCGCGATTGTCGGTGCTGGATCCACCTGGTCTCATTGCTTTCCCCCATGTTTCGTCGAACTCGCTGATGCTCCTTGACGTGAGTGCGTTGATGAAGAAAACACCCACCCCAGCTGCACACAACAATAATCCCAGCGTTCTTGACGAGGGTGGCGATGACGATGCTGACGATGATGATGAGGGAAAAGAGGAGGAGGGATGCCAGGCATCGCAACAGATGACGGCCACGGAAAACCCCACCGTGGCCTCGTCGGCCGCAGCGCGTGTGGCGGCAGTGCACAAAATTGCTTTGAAAAATATTGTGAACTTTGGGTGGTCTCCAAACATCTCTGCGTGTGTGATGTGGACGAAGTACGGGCGCCTCGCTTTGGGCGATGCTTTGGGTGGCGTGTGGATTGCATGAGGACATAGTATGGGGGAAACCGTGATGCGCTTTGTCCCTGTGTTTTTCATGGAATGCTTTTCTTGTCTCTCATCACCCCTTTCCCCATGAGCTGCTGCTTGTTGTCGTATTTTATTGCAGGCCCGCCTTTTTTTTTTTTTTGTCGTGTCTTTGAGAGGGTTGCGCGAGGTCCATGAAAGCGCGATTCCCACCAGCAGGGCGAGGTGAAGTGCCTTGTTGCCTCTGTGCTTTCTGTAGTTTCACTACTCTTTAGACGAGTTACGTATAGAAGCGATCGGGAACCGTTGAGGGGAAAATGCTAAGAGAAAAGCAAAAAATAATAATAATAATAAAGAGCACTATTTAATGCACACGGAATCATGGGCGCCAAATGCACATGTACACCCGCACGCACTGTGACGCGACCTTTGCCTCCCTCCCCCTTTCTTTTTCTATTTTGTTTTGTTCCTCATTTATTATCCTCAGGGAAGACGAGCGAGTAGCAACAAAGCACAGGGATAAAACGAAATAAAAGAGAAACAAAAGAAAAGAGTGGAACATTGAATTCATAAGGAGCACATCAAACGCAATACAACGTGGGTGTTTGACGAGAGTGGGTGCGGGGGCGATCGAAGGAAAGCGGTGGTGAAGACTTATTGTTTGCGTGGGTTTAATCATCAGTGAGAGCAATGCTACGTTGCAGCATGCTTCAGCGCAACATGGGGCTTGGGGACACCTATGTCAAGAAGGTCTTTGACACTGTAGCTAGCAAGTATGACTTGATGAATGATGTGCTCTCGCTTGGCGTACATCGAATGTGGAAACGGCACTTCGTGGAAGATTGTGTGCGTCCATGCCCTGGCGGCAAATTTCTTGACGTTGCTGGCGGCACTGGCGACATTGCCTTTCGAATTGTAGACGAAATCCGAAGGACGGAGAAGTCTTTTGGCCTTGTCCCGACACCGCGGCACCAGACGGAAGTGACAGTGCTGGACATTAATGAAAAGATGCTCTGCGAGGGGGAGGCACGTGCCATGCGAGAGGGATACCACGAGGTTTCTTGGGTTCTTGGCAGCGGAGAAGAGCTGCCTTTTGATGATCTGCACTTTGATAGCTACACAGTGTCTTTTGGCATCCGTAACTTCAGTGATCGTCCAAAGGCTCTACGTGAGGCGTATCGTGTGGTGCGAGTTGGGGGTGTTCTGAATATTTTAGAGTTCAGCACAGTGACGTGCCCACTGTTAAGTGTGCCGTATGATGTTTGGTCATATGGCATCATCCCAAGGGTGGGACAAATGCTGGCGGACAGGGAGAGCTATCAGTACCTCGTTGACAGCATACGTGACTTTCCAGATCAAGAGACATTTGCCCAAATGATACGTGACGCGGGATTTGGGTATGTACGCTACGAAAACCTCACGGGTGGCGTCGCATGCATTCACACAGCCGTCAAGACGGAGCCGCAGCGGGTGCAACACCAACCAAGCCCGCTGGAGGCGGCAGCCAAGAAGTCAAAGGAGGAAAAGGAAACAGCGGATGAGGGACGGCTTGACCCTGCGTAAGAGGCACCTTTTCCTTTTTATATACTTTTTGGTTTGTTTGTTTGGGTTTATCACATTCTTTTTCTTTTTCTACATCATTGGGTATGCCGAGTAACACTGAGGCGGGGATGAAGGTTAACTGAGGAACCCGCTCATATTACACCTACATACATATGGGAAAGAGATGTTTGTGCACATGACGCCGCTATATGATACAATAAGATGGGCACCAAGCTGTGCTGCCTTGATTGCCCCATTTTTAATTTTAATTAAGGTGAGTTGCTTCAAAAAGCGATGATGCGTATGGCGCTGAAGGCAGCGAAGGAAGATGCAACTGCAAAAACTTGAGGACAAGCACATACACTGATAAACGGTATATATAAGTAGCAGGTGAAGGAGTCAGTATTTTTGTTTGTCAATGCGTACATACATAAAATGTATTCGTTAGTTATACATATATGTGTTTCGGTGGATATTTCCCTGTGTATGCGTGCTCTTTTTTTTTTTGTGAGTTTTGACTGCAGATGCCATGGGGATGCTTGTATGTCATATATTGTTGTTTCTCCTGATTTGGCGGTGTACTTCTTTCTTTGTATGTGTGTGATTATGTGTCTGCGAGACGCGCATCTCAAGCGGCAGCCAAGGGTGAAGGAACAGATAGAGGAAGAGAGCGAGTGGAGAGGACTGTGAGTTGAGGATAAGAGGAATGAGGACGTCAGGGCACTGCTGCTGCTGCTCTGAGGCTGAAGGCGGATGCTGGTGATGCAGATGGTGGTGGTGGGCGTGTAGAGTATAGTCTCCACTTATAAGGATGGCAATCGCCTGTACATTTTCCCCTAGTCATGTTGTGCCTGTGGTCCTGTTTCTTCAGCTTCGGTTCTGCGATCTGCGTGGATACGTCCGGTTTTTTTTNTTTTTTTTTTTTTTTTGGGGGGGGGGGTCTTTTCTTTTACGGCTCCAGATACTACTTGTATTCATAGAAAGAGGGAGTGCGGGACTGCCTCTCTGAGTGTGTGTGTCCGCGTGTGTGGAGTACGCGTGGGATATTTAGAATACATATGATACGCGACACGAGGATGTCGGTGTGGGAAGACAACCGGGAAAACGACGGCGGCATTGGCAGCAGTAGCAGCACACGACAAGATGACGCTGAAAGAGCCGAGGAAGAGGAAGATGAAAAAAATGGGCGGCCACGGACACCATCGTCGCGCGTCATGGTTTCTATTCCACGCGAATTGTCACACACACCTGCCATTGCCGGATTGTCCCCTACGGCCAGGACGCCGTTGATTCAGCAGTGTCATTTGCATCGCGGTAACTACTACAAAACTGACAACAACGATGGGTATCACCAACCACCGTTGGAGCAAATGACTGTCTCATTCGAGGAAGATGGCCTGCAGCTCACAACGACAAGTCTGTTAGGTAAAGGAGGCTTTGGTCGTGTGTATGTGGCGCGGTCAAATGGTGGTGAGTTATATGCGTTAAAGGCATCTGCAAAGAAAATGTCCACGGCTGACTGGTCCCGTCTTCATAAGGAGGTGGAACTAATGAGTCACTTCTCACGGCACCCCAACGTAGTGAAGTTCATCGCCGCTGGGCGTGACGAGGAACGTGCGTATGTAGTGATGGAGTGTTGTGCCAGCCGCTCGCTCCATGATGTTATCGCCAATCACGGAATGGATGTGCCGGAGATTCTCTGGGTGGGGTGGGCGCTTGTTGACACCATTGCTTTTATGCACTCTAAGGGTTGTATCCACCGTGACCTCAAGCCACAAAACCTTCTTTTTGACTTTGATGGGAATCTGAAAATTACAGACTTCGGTCTCTCCAGTCGGGTTGCGGAGGCACAACCACGCAAGACGGTTGCGGGTACCGCCATGTACATGGCACCAGAGATAGCCGAGGCCGTTTACAAGCGCATGAGTAACTCAACAGATCAGCAGCCGCTTCAGTACGGCCAAGAAGTGGATACGTGGAGCATTGGTGTCGTGCTCTACGTCATGCTGACTCGCATGAACCCATACGTGGAGGCAATGGAAAAGCGAGGAACACGTGACATGGACAAAATGCAAAAAACCCTAAGCCTCTTTAACGCGGTAGCGGATGCTGCATGGAGTTGGCCGACGGGGTGGTCAGGCGATCCGGAGCTTTGCGATATTGTGAACCGGGCACTTCATCAGGATGCCAGAAAGCGGGCCACACTGCAGGAGTTGTTGCAGCACCCCGTGTGGAATCGACGTCCACTCTCTTGTCCACTTTCTCTCCTGCACAAGTTGCACCTCTTGGAACGTCCTGCCTCTTCTGCCTCCCGCCACGCCTTGACGCGTCGTTCATTGAGTCGTGTAGCAGAAAATCTTCCAATTCCAGCTGCAAAGAAGACGGCAGATGATGTGCTTGTAGATGGAATGCGGCGCGTACTCTTGACGGAACAACGGGCCCGCGCAAATCTGGTGTTGGAGCACCATGAAACGTTACGTCTTCTTGTGGAATTGTTGAAGCTTTCACGTGGGGAGGTGGATGTGAGACGAAGCATCGAGGAAGATGAAAAACGGCACCGCATTGTGCTGCAAAATCAAATTGTAACGCGTCAGAATAGACGTAGGGGAAGTGAGGCACTCGTATTGTCATCCTCTGTGGCAGCCCTCGCGGCGGAAACGGGGTCGGTGGCGCGTGCCTCACGCGTGCATAGACAGTCGAGTGTCATGTTGGTGGCGCATGAGGATCCACCAGGGGAGGAAGCGGGACGAATTGTTCGGGCCTCTCCGGACAAGTATGCCATGGTGTATCCAGGACGAGACACTGCCACACGGTGGTCATTGCGTCCCGTGATTTCGCTTCCCCGTGAACTAAACAGTGAGATAGAAGAGTTCAAATGCCTGAACAATCACATTATGACAAAATTGACAGTCATGCCTCATGGATACAATGGATTTGATTGTAATGTGTGTGATCGAGAGATTCTTAAGATCACCCCTGAAACCCCCGCCTTCCGTTGCCATAAATGTGACTATGATCTTTGTATGCGGTGCGCTTATCAAGGGCGCCTCAAGGACGTGAATTTTGTTTGTGTGTCATGCACCAAAAAGTTTACGTCCTCTGCAAAGTTGCAGGCACATTCGCTACAGTGCCGTGGTCCTAGCTGGAGTCCATCCCCGCGCCGTTCCTCACGTATGAACACGATGCTATGGGAAAAGATGGAATCACACCGTGGCAGTCTACTGGAGGTGCGACTCCCTGGTGACCCCAAGCCCCGGCCCAGCGGACGTCAGTCTGGGCGCAGTTCAACAGGACGAGCCTCATCTGGTGGACGCATTAGCATAGGCGACAGTCATGTCGCTTCTCCAGAGGATGTGAGGGTAATGGTGGTGCCGCACCGTAATGCATCCTTCCCAGATATGCCCGATTTGACCTCCACACAACAAACAGGGGGTGGTGGTCGGCGAAGATCCACCTCATTAAAAGGAGAGGGGCGTGCGAGTACCAACGGCAGTTTTTCCTTTGAGCTTCCACCTGAGATTCGTCTGTCAAAGCATACGAAAAGGGAGAGAGTTGAACCACGAAGCTCCGCAGAGATGCAGGAAATAGTAGACGTGGATTCCCCTCCACTGAAAAAAAAGGAACGGACAGAGGTGCAAGTAGGGGTGTCGAGCGGGGAGGAAGCTAGTGTATCTTCCTACAAGGTGAACGACAAGGGAGATATTATTGGTATAGCTGCTCAGCATCGAGCTGCAAGAGAATCAAGTCTTCAACAGCAGCAACAACAACAACAACAAGGCCAAGGCGTTATTGTTATTCGAGCTGATACGGCTTCCAAACCACCAGAGATGTCTAGCCAGCCTCGAGTCCCGCGTAGTGCCTCGTCCAGTCGTTCTGCGGGGGTGATGCTTTCGGTAGCCACGAAAGTGGCTTCAAAAACATTTGAACCTCCCTTGGCGCAAGTGACACGAGCAGCCACATCTGTTACCATCGCCACCACTTCTACTACCACTGGCTATGATGTCGCTCAAGTGTCAAAAATGCCACAAAAGGTACGTCAACCCTCTGCCGGTAGTATGATGGCAATGCATGGTGGGCCTCCGCTGCCACGTAGGGGGCCTGGTATGCCACAAAACACACTATACCCGGTGACGAAAGCCGTTCCACCACCAAACCTTCCTGTACCACGTCAACCGTCCCACCCGTTGGTGCAATTTGGGAGTGAAACACACCAATTTAGTGGTGGTCATCTTCCTCCTAGTGGAAGCAATGCGTTTTTGGCACTTCCCCGTGAAGAACAGAATAGACAGCGATTTGTAGACGACTTTCTTAGTGGTGGGTGGGTTCGTTTCTACTCCTTCACCAACGAGGAGACGGTAGTGATGTATTACTGCGCACAGCCCGGTAGGTATGGTGCTATGTTTCCAACAGAAGCTGGTGTTGGCACGGCGGTGGTAGACGTTCACTCGAGACTGGTGCTGTATGTACCATGCATGAACAATGAGAGTACGAACCGCAGTCAACCACATCCGCATGTGCAAACTTTTTACGACGAGGATGTGCGACTACTCGGCGTCACCGAGGCGCAGCGATATCTGGGCAGTGTATTAGAAAGCATTATGGGTTTCGTGAATGAGGTTGCACGACTTCGCGCGGAGGGATTGACACCGGCAGCTGTTCACGCAGCGTATATTCATCAACGTGATAAAAGTGCTGTGCCGAAGGACACAAAGTTTGTCTATGTGCGAAAAGTGTTTCCAGACCCTTCTGGATCCTTTACCCTCTTTCGTCTCTCCAACCTCCGCTCACAGGTGGTGTGCAACGCACTCATGGACATTCGCTGGCAAAGCGATAGAAGACACAACGTTGGACAAAAGTATTACGTTCTCGCAGATGGCACGGCAGAACCGTTCGTCGTGGATCACACAGGCATTCTCACGCAAGTCGAGACTGTGCTCAGCAACAACTTCCGCCGGTGAGGAGCGGAAGCTTAAACACACCTGTTTATTTGTTATTCATATAGACATTTCTTTTCTCTCACCCCTTTCATTCTCGTTCGTACCTGACTTTTTTTGTCTCGTTCCTGTTTTTTTTGTTTTTGTGTTTGGTTGCTTGTCTCCCTGCGCGCCTGCACGAAGACGAGGGAGGGGGTTGAGGCGATTGAGAGGGCGGAGTGAATCTCGAAAACACGACAAGGAAGGAGTATCCGTGGCACCCACGCCGAACATAGACACATGACAGTGCTTGTTTTTCCCCTTCCGCATCACGAATCAGTAGAATGTTTTCTGTACGTGTACATCTATGCTCATGGGCACCACTAGTTCATCTCTAACACCGCATCTGTTACTTTTTTGTTTTGCAATTTTTGTTGCTGCGGTTGTTTTCTGCTTCTTGGGTATTTTCTTTGCATTTGTTGGTAGTGTTACAGCTCTTACCGTGAGTGCCGTTAGCAGCTGCTTGGAGCAGAGGCAGCGGACTACGGTAGGCGTCAGACGCGCCTTGGACACGCATTTTTTCCTTTTTTCTTCTGTGCTTGGATGTTGCTGGGGGGGAAGAGCTTTGAGAAGGCGGAAAGGCGCCGTGAAGAAAAAGAAGAAAAAGGGCGCAGGTTAGATCGACAGTGTCGTGGAACAGGAGGGGAGAGATGAGGATGCCCCATGTGCTACATTTTTTGTTTTTTTGTGTTCTCTTTGCTCGGTGTAGTTACTTTTGTTTGTTTTAGATGGCGTTGTGATTTTTGCCTCCCCACCCTCCTCATTTCGTCTCTGATTCCTCGTCTTGTTGCACCTTCAGCTGCACACTCCGGAACGGAAACGAGAGAGAGAAAACGCGGCCATAACGCACCCCTCACATCTGCAGAGGAAGCGAGGACGATACATGAGGGGAAGTGGAGACAACGCTGCTGCAGCTGTGTGCCTATAGGCGTGTTGCGCTGGGTTGTTAGACGAGGTACAGTAAGGGAGGGACGCGTGTGTGGCTTCGTCAGTGCCGAATGTGCCGAGAAACGAAGGAACCGAGCAAATATCCCGTTTTTCCCCCTTCATGCAAAAACAAAGCAAACAGAAAAAGGAGAAAAAAGATTGACGAAGCTGTAATTATATATTTTGTTCCCCCTCTTCTGCCATTCATGCTTTCTCTCCCCCCCCCCCCCCCCTGCTTTTCTCGTGGTCTACCTCCCACACCATCTTGCTGCATTCCTTTGCGGTGAGAATGGGAGAGGGAGTGAGGGGGAAACAGAAGAAGATGATGGGGAGCACGTCTCTATTTTTCCTTCTTTTTCTGTGCATGACTGTCGGTGCGCCTTTTGCTTTGTGTGACGGGGTGTGCATGTCTCTTCCTACGTGTTGACGTCTCTCTCTGTGCGTGGAGGTGTTTGTGTAGGTGCTTTCAACTCACATCGGAGGACTGTTTGGATATCAGTTTTATTCTTATTTATTTCTTTCTTGATTTGTGTCGTTTTCTTCTGCTCGTGAGTTCTTTCTTATGAGAAGGGGGTGTCTGTGAATGCAGCGCTCTCTGCCTGATCTCAATGCACCAAAGAAACGGCGGCAACACGAGGGCCCCTTGTCGTTTTGTTATAACACACACGATAACAATAACGAAGGGATACGTCACAAGATCGGGCGCAAAGGTAATAAAACTGTTGGTCACGTCGGTCGCAAGGCGTTGAGTCGAAGCACTCAGCAGCTATTTCCAAAGCCGTGGTGGCACCGCCGCCGATCTGTACACTTCAAGCATGCAAAAGGTACCAGTGGCACCTCATCCTCCTGTTCATCGGTAGGGATCCAGCTGTTTTCAACCTTTTTCGTCACACCAAAGGAGTTGACTGCCGCACTGCGCAAGCGGGAGAGGTCCCTCGAGCGGCGGCAGCGGCAGTGTGTACAGTGCATGGAAAAGCATAAAGTTCGTCACGATTCTTGCAAGGAGAAAGCAAAGACTACCGTTTGTGTCGTATCCGGCATATCTGGTGGTGATCATATGCCCTTGGTGGTGAGAGAGCAGGGTGTGCAGGAAGATAATACAGAGGAACTTTCATCCATGTTGACTACGGTTCGTTTATTATGCACGTCGGTAAAGCGATCAGCTGCAGCGTGTGTTGATGTCAGAGCGGGGAGTCGTGCGCTTTGTAGGCAGTGTCGTGGCCTTACCTCGTGGGTCTGTCCAATGCTTCTTCACACCGCATCCCGCACACGCCGTGCGTCCTGTAATGTGTCCCTGTCGGAGTAAACCTGATGGTCACTGGACACCGTAGTCCGCACTGCTTGCCACTATTGGTACTCAGTCCCTTTTGTTTGTTTGTTTGTTTGTTCGATTTATTTTCTTTTTATCATGCTGCTTTTGGGCGTGTTGTGGGTTTTGTGTGTGGGAAGAAGGTCTGGGAATGGCAGTGGTTGTGGTGGTGGAGAATGCCCTGGAGTGTTGCTGCTGCCAGCATCTCCCACTGCACGTTGTATGCCACGGGCGGAGTGGCGCTTGTTGCGCCCCACTCTTCTGCTACAGTGCTGTATATTTGGCTGTAATGAATTAATTTTATGGGATTATCTTCTTCTTTTTTGTTGTTGTTGTGGTTGATTGTTATATATATATATATATTTATATATATATTGTAGCTACACGAAGACTGAGACGCAAAAACATAAAGGCTGACAGTAGAAAAAGGTGCGTTTTGCTTGGGTCTCTTTCTTGCGCTGCGTGTGTGGCCTTTCTCTGCTTACCTCGCATGCCAGCGAAGAAAAAGTCTGCGGCTCATGATGCCGAGAAGGGGGAGCTTCTGCGTCAAGCGGAGCTGCGGAAACTCGCCGAAGAGCAGGAGCGTCTGCACAAACTGGAGACGGAAGCACGTCAACGGCTGGAGGGGGAGTGGAGGCGCGCCTTGGACGATGAGTGTCAGCGGCAGATGGAAATTCGCCGCGCCATCACCGACTGGGAGTTGAAGTTGACGTTCGAGGTTCGCGAGCAGCAGTTGCGAGACGACCTCGAACGCAAAGACTGCGAGTGTCGCGAGCTCCGCGCAAAGTTGAATGGATTGCAGTTGAGCGTTGAAACCATGATGCAGGATCGGGAATCCGCCCTGCGGCGGGTGGCCATGTTAAGCAACGAACTTGAACTCGCACAGATGAAGAGCGTCGAGGCAGAGGCTGCGTTCGACGAGAAAATTCGCGAGACTTACGCACGACTGCGGGAAGTGGAAAGTTTACGCGATGAGTCAGTGGACGCATATAGTGGACTGAAGATGGAGTGCGAGCGTCTCAAGAGGGGGAATGAGGAAATACAGGCCAAGTTGGACGCTGTCCAGGCGGCGCAGGCCACGGATCTCTCGGCTATTGATGCTCAACTTTTACAGGTGCATCCGCAAAGCACCGACGCAGAGACGGCACTACTGTTAAAAGTTCTCAACGAGGAAGTAGAGAAACACCGCGAGACGGTACGTTTGCTTCAATCTGAGCTTGAACGAAAGGGTCGAGATGATGAGAAAGGAAGTGTGCTTATCAGTCTTCTTAACTCCCAACTGGAGTCCTCGCGGGATGAGTGCAAACGGCTTCATGAGCTTTCCACGGATAGGCGGAGGGAACTAGAGGCTGTGCAGTCCCTGCTGGATGGTGAACGTGAGAAGACGAAAACACTCTACCGTGATCTTGACAAGGCATACGCGGAGGCGACTGTGGAGCGTAGGCAGTTCACTCTGGAGATTGGTGTACATAAGGCGCAGGTGGGGGAACTCACCAATACTTTGGAAAGGGTAAACGCAGAGCTGTCAGAGTTGAAGGAGCAGTTTGATGCCCACCGTGCCAAGGCTGCGGAACGTGAGCAGTACGACTTTCAGGTGAATGTCTCCCTCAAAGGAGAGGTGGAACAGCTCAAGAAGGATCTTAATAAAATGGTGGAGGAAATGCGTATTGCTGGCGACGATGCGTACACAAAGAAGGCGCTTTTGCGTGCGGAAATTGAGAGTCTTAAGATACGTCTGCAAAAATTACAGGAGAACGCGGAAAAGAATGAGCGGGAGGCGTTTGAGACGATAGCAGTGCTGCGCGCCACAACAGAACGGCTGCAGGAGGAGAAGGTGACTATGGTGCGTACCACTGAAGAGGACACGCGGAAGCTGCGGGATAATTTGACGTCTCTGGCCGCCGCACGTGATGCTCTTCAGGCCCTTTTTGATAAATTAAAGGCACAGAAGGAGGAGGTTGAAAAGGACCTGTTTGAAAAACTTCTTCGCATGACGGCAAACCACGACCGCCTGCATGAGGATCTGCAGCAGGCCAGGACGGCGTACGCGGCCCGCGAGAAGGAGTTCGTCGAGAACGCCATTTTTCTTAACGCGGAGAAGGAAACACTGAAAAGTACAGTGGAGGAACTTACTGAAAAGCTTGCGCGGCGGACGCAGGAGCACGCGCAGCATGTGCAGAGCATCACGGAAGAACTCACCGCACTCAAGGCAAGGGCGGAGAAGCAGCTGAAGGCACACCAAAGTGCCCAGCGGTCGGAGACGGAACGTGCTAGCAACGCAGAGGCGGAGGTGCAGGCACTGAAGCGGCAGGTAGCGGAGCTGGAGCTGCTGTTGGCGACGAGGCGACGCGAGCGTGATGAGATGGAGCAGGCGATGAAATGTGAGATTCGTGAGCTTCGGCTGGAACTCAACGCGGCAAAGCGTACAATTGAGCGGTTTGAGTGCGCCCTTGGTGACACCTCGTACAAGTCTTTGTGTGAGGCAAACGACCGCATGCGTCGGGACTTGGAGCAGCAGCGCGAAAAGGTGGCGGTGCTTAACGACACGATCGCCTCAATGAAGGTGGAGTCAACCGTCATGGAAAGCTACAAGGAGAAGATGCTTGCCGACAAGAATGAGCGGTACTCCAGGCGTGTTCAGCAACTAGAGGCGTTACGACAGATTATGAACCCACTTTTTTTTGAGCTACGTTCTATTGTTGAAAGGCACGGTCTTGTAGGTGTACTGCGTCGCGATCTTGATGCGTTTGATGATCACGTGCGACGATCACGTCTGGCGACAGGGCATGAGAAGTGGCATAACGCCCCCGCTTCCCCTCTGGAAAAGGCGGCTGCAACAAGTAATGCCAACTGCCGTGCATCAACTTTCGAAAATGGCTATCCAACTTTACCTGCGGTTGATCCTCAACGTGCATTCCAAAGCGACGATGCTGAAAGGTGCCGCTTTTTCCCACGGAAACCGGCGTCCGCAGTTCTGCAACCGCAAGAACAACAACCGTCATCCATCATGAATGAGCTTCCAAGCATTGTTTGAGGCTCCATTAGGAACTATGAGGGGACTCTGGATGTTTGTGGCTGGCATTGTTGTTGTTTTTTATTACGTATGGGATGACCGGCATGTAGATACCATTTATATACAACTCCCTTCCAAGCATCATCATCAGCATCGCCTTTGTCCTCATCAATGTATAGCGAAATGTCTGAAAAGGTGGAGAACGCGCACCTTTTGCGATACACAGAGGGAAAGAAAGCGGTATACCCTTTTATCCCCTAGAGCAACAGAGAGGTGTAGAAAGAATGTAGCCGAATATGTGCAAACCGATGGATATATATATATATATATATATATATATTTGTATGAGCTGTGAGGAATGTTGGAAGTTTATGAGTGCATACTCAGAGACCTCGTCTTGTGGGGTTTCTTGAACTACTTCGGTGTGCTATCAAAGTCATTGCTTTCAGTAGATTCATATGAATATGTGGTTATTTGGTTACTTCTGTATGTGTGCCTTTTTCTTTTGCATATGCTCTTCTGCTTCCCTTACCTGGTTTGCTCTTGTTCCTTTTTTTTTTTGTCTATCCTGCTGGCTGCCGTTCCCACACACCCACGTGTGGGTGACATAAAGTGGGCAGTGGGCCAACGGGAGGGCGACAGGCGCAAACGGCTGTGGGTTTGCTCTCGTACACTCCTAACCTCTCTGATAGAGTGACAGAGACGAGGCAAAGGAGCCGTGCGTGTGCTACGGGGCGGGAGGAGGAAAGCTATACGGGTGGAAAGAAAACTACAAAAAAAAAACTACAGTGTGGAGCAAACTGCACCCATCTGCTGCGGCAAATGACGGACGGTCATGCGGCGTACCTTTCTTTTAATGCGACGGATTGCGCCCCGGTAGACGGTGACTGCGTTCATAGCCCTGACTCCGTGGCCTGGAGCCCACACAATGTCCTCGTTGTCGCCACGCACTGGGCTTTGTATCTGCACATCAAAAGCATTATTGCCTCCGAGGTCGTTCTTCGACCTAGGTACCAGCCCCGTGATGATGCATCTGGCCCGATGTGCATCACTGGAGCGAAATGGGCACTAGATTTGGTACCGGAAGAGGCGTACCCCGCAACGTGTCGATTGTGCGTACGAACCACACGTGATACTTTTATATATCGCGTTATCCGCTTTGGCACGGGAAGGCTTCGTACGAGTCATGGGATGTGTTTTATTCCCAAGGCGGCTTTTCAGGAAAGCGTCGACGACGCCACTGGGGCGGATAAAAAAGGACGTAAAAGGGTGCGGCCATCTCTTGGGAATGTTGTTAATCTTGACGCCGCAGCTGCTGAATATGACAGCAATGATCGAATCCAACTGTTAGCCGGGGCTGGGTGGTGTGTGATTAGCTATGAGTGGTTTCCGTTGGATCTTCTAGTAGTGGTGACGCTAGGTGGTGTTTATCTCCTCAATTTAGCTGGTGACACCTCCGATGAGACAGCCTTGCAGTTGCGACTATTTCCACCACCTGTATTTCGTTTTACGGGTAGTCCTGTGGCAAGTCTATTGCCATCGTGTGCAACACGTGTTATTGGGTGTGGTGGTAAAGATAATCGTCTGGTTGTGGCATGCCCATTTTGGCTTCGCGTCTTTACTGTTTCCACTGCTCATGTGCAGCTGACGCATTACGTTGAGGTTCCTCCACTCTGCGGCATTCCCACTGCCCTCTGCTCCATGATGACCGATGAGACGAATTCCACGTTGCGTGTCTTCGTCTCTGCCCCGATGTGTGTTCTTGAAGGGAGCCTCGTGGTGGATGCATTGGACGATGTCTACGGCAGGGGAGAGGCAATGCAGGTCAACTGGACCACATTGGGATCATGGACGGCCGAGAGCGATTTGGGTGATGAAATTACTGTTCGTCGCTTTCTCGCTATCCCGCTTACTTCCTTCGCACCACTTGAAGCGAGGACCGCCACAGACTTGCAGAGGACGGGTGTGACTGCGATGGATGGATCTAGAACACCGTACCTTGTATTGGCTGTATCTCAGCGGCGTCTGATGGGCTTTGTGGGAAGGCAATGCGTGGAACTTATTCGCTGCATGCGGATGGACGGTAGTGTGTACCCACGTGACGTCGCGCTGGAGTTATCAGGAGTGGCCATTCACCCCTCTTGCAACATGGCGGTTTTGGGAATTCGGGTTGGCATGCGGCGGTATCCGCCGTTTCAGCTGATGCCTGTTTCCGTCAACACGGAGGGTGGGTTTTTGTTGCGGCTTCTGCAGCTTCAGGAGGGGTTTGGCTTTCTCTCCAATGCCAAGCTCAACGCGGCATCAACGTCAGCGGTGGCACCAGCAACCACTAAGGCATCGCTTGACAATGTGCTTCATGCTCTGTGGAGCCGGCAACAGTCCACATCGTACTTTATGTGGGAGGAGTTGCTGCCAAGCAATAGCGTTGGTGCTGCGACTGCACAATTGTGGCAGCGGGAGTCCCGGAGTGTGTCAGAGGCTTCGATGATGAAGGAGGAAGAAGTTAAGGACGAACAGAACGGCACCAACGTAGCCGCCTCCTTCTTCTCCTCCTATTGCCGGGTGGTGGGCGCACTGCGGTGGGGATACCTGGAGCAGCGCCAGAAGTACGGCCTGGAGTTGTTTCTGCGTTTCCCAGAGGCAAATGCAGCATGGCGGCAGACATTACTTTGCATCTGGCGTCGATGTCCAGGGGACACAGCGCTAATGGAGCTTGTCTTGGCAAACGCTGTGCGATGCATGGCGGAGGAGGTGCATTATGCCGGGCTCGTCAGGCAAGAATGGTCTACGTTACCGTTGGAAACAGAACTGCCCTTGCACTTACCGTTTTTGGCGGCGGTTCAATTCGGAAGGTTGTATCAGCAGCAATGTGTCAAGGGCGAGGCGTGGGTTTACAATGGGGCATTTGCGGCGCAGCTTGGAAGGTTTATAGATGTTGTAGAGGCTCAACAACGACAGCAGCAGCAAAAAAAACAAAAAGGGAAGCGGAGATGTCCGCCCCGACGACGTTGTCCCCTCCTCGCTTTCCCTGCTCCGTCTGTGGGAAGGAGGAACAAACACTTTTAACTATGTCTCTTTCTTCTAATCTGCGGGTGGAGCAAAGCACTAAGGGAAAATCACACGACTGTGCGACTGGGTTTCACCTTACAGTGTTTTCCGGCAGCACATTTACCCCGCTTTCTTTTGTGAAGCAGGATGAGGTGCTAGGTCGCTGCCTTGCATGTGGTTTGTACGATTACGTCACTGGGCCACTCTGCTGTGTGTGTGAGGGCCTGATGATGTGATTCGGGCATTGTATCGCAGTAGATGGTGAGCGGATGGTGGTGATGGCAACCCCCGGGTACCCTGTGCGCATGTGTGAGTATCCGTGCCAAAGGGAGGGAGCGTTTGCGTGGGGGTGGGGTGGGGATGAAGAGGAGAGGCAAGCGAACAGCAACTACTAGCACGCAAAAGAGGGACAATTCCTGTAGCTGCGTCTCGTACGTTTATTCGCGCAATCTATAAATCGTGTATTTTCATTTTCCTTCACTTTATGCTGGCATGCACCCACACGTACATGGCGTGATAAAAAGAAATGTTGAGGGGGAGGGAAGGGCGCCGCAGAATTATTTTTATTTATTTATTGTGTTTTCCCCATCTTCTACACTCAATCACGCATTCACTCTTTTTCTTCTCTTACACCCCACCCATCACTGGGCCAGTTTGGAAAGGTGGCAAGGTGAAGGTATGCTCTTTAAGCCTCGAGGCGTGACGAGCAATGACCCAAAATACGCTGGAAACTCTCGTATCATGACGATACCCTACCTTCTTGCGTACAGAGACACCTGGAAGGAGCGCTTGTCGGAAGATTTTTCTCTGGGGCGCATCCTGTTGGCTGCGCGAGCCTCAAAGAGGAAGCCAGCGGAACCGGAGAAGCTTGTGATGACCAGCAATGGATTCAAAGTCAAGAGCCGGGACGCGATTGACCAGTCAGAGCGCGGTGTACGCTTGGTGCAGTGCACGCTTAATAAACTCACGGAGTCTAACTTTGCTGTGCTTTCCAACTCCATCCTTGTCCCTGAAATTATTCTTAATGCGAGCGTGGTGGCCGACGTGGTGCGGCTCATCTACGACAAGGCTCTTGTTGAGCCTGTCTTTGCTGGTTTATATGCACGTCTGTGCCACTTGATTGTGCGCTACGAGTATGACTACCGCAACGCACAGGGTGGCGAGGCCGACGCACAAAAGAGTGAGGTTCGTGTGGCGATTGTGGAGAAGTGCCAACAAATGTTTGATGGGGCCACCAAGGCGGTGCGGGAAACTGCGTCAGAGGATGAGGCTGAGAAGTTGCGTAAACGCAACGTTAACAATATCAAATTTGCTGGTGAACTCTTCCTGAAATCGCTTATTACGCAAAAGATTATAGATCTGATCTTGCGTGAGAAGGTTTACAAGGACATGCCCACCGACATGGATCTTGAAGTTGTCATCAACTTGCTGGAGGTTGTAGGGAAAATGTATGAAGAGAAGCACCCCGCGGCACAGCCCGAATTGTGGAAGTTGCTGGGAGGCCTACAGGAGGAACGAAGATTTTCAAATCGAATTCGTTTTTTGCTACAAAACCTCATCGATCGGCGCAACGGTGGGTGGAAACCACGTGAGCCGGAGCAGGTTATAGTAGAGGACCCACAACCGCAGCAGCAGCAGCAGCAACAACAACAACAACAACAACAACAACAACGGTATCACCCCCATCAGCAACAGTACCATAATAATAATAATAATAACCATCACCACCACCACCAGCAGCAGCAGCAGCAGCAGCAAATTCGTAACAGAGATCAGCTTCCGCCGCCTGTGGGAAAGCGAGCAACAAGCCACCAGGACGTCCCCAATTCATATGGTGTGGGGACGCGACGTGCGACGAGTCACTCTGATCTGTCTGGGTTTGGTGGTTACATCATGCCACCACCACCACCTCCACTCCTGCCGCCACCACAACTGCAATCCGCACCTGGGGAGGAGCAACTGTCGGTGGAGGAGAAGAAGGTACTTGCGCTCGCACGACCACCTGAGGCACTCACGGATGAAGTGAGTCGGACCATACTTCGTATTGCTCGTGATGCTGTGGAGGATGGATTGCCCAATCGAGACTGGATAACGAATGATCTCTCACGTGTGTTGGGTCCCAACGAAACTGTTAACCAGTGTTTGGCGACAAGTATCTATGTGATTCTACTTCGGGCTCTAATGGACACAAAAGAGAATGAGCGGGCGCTGTTCTTGACCGCACTCGAAAAAGCTAGGTGGGGGCGCAGCGTTCTGTGTCGCGGATTTTCAATGTGTCTTACCAAAATTATTGCAGAAAGAGATGTGGCGGATTGCCCGCGCATTTTTTCCCGCTTCGTAGATGTTGTTGGACGCGTCACGGAGATGAATTTTTTGAATATAACAAAAGACATTATGGCACGTACGGCGAAAAACCTTGACGTCATGCAAGTCGTCTGTGATGAGACAGAGGATTGGGAAGAGGAATTCATTAATGTTTGGGACAGCCTTCTGTTGGCGCGGCCAACGTCGACGAAGGTGTCAGTAGCCGAGAGCATGGAAGCGTTGTGTTCAGTGCGGTTAGGGTCCTTTTTGCGCGGCATTCTTCCCGACTTTGTGGCCTCGATGGTGCAGGCGGGTTTTTTTACGGAGGACGACTTAAGGCAATGGCGGCAGGAGAACGAGTCGAGTACAAAGTACCGCGTCCTCACAGAGGAACTTGCTCAGCTTTATCCCTGACACAGCTGGGAATAAACGAAGGCGGCGACAACATACAGAAAGACGACAGGGGGGGAGCGCCGGTGGGCAATTGGATGGATTGAGTGACTTTTTCCACTTAGGACTGCTTTGTCCCACCTATTATTTATTTATTTTTTGTGTTCACTGCTACTTCGTTATTATTTCTAGCAATCTCATTAAAGTTTAGGCTTGTAGAGCGAATGTGCGGCCAGATGGGCTCAGTGGATCATATCGTGTCGTGGTGAACATCCTCTACCTTTGTTATTTTTAAAGGTTTGTCATTCATTACTTGTTTTGTGCTTTCAGAGATGACACGTTGGGAGGCAGCGGGAGTGCAGTTTTTTTTTTTTTTTGTGTGTCACTCCACCCTAACCACCCCCCTTCTACTAATAACTTTTACGCGAGGAAGGGTCTGGCGGTTGCGGTGACCCAAAGCCCGCCACCTCGTCACGCCGCAACAAGTATGTTAATCATGGCATGTGCCTTGCGAATTTGTTTCTTTATTGGTGTGTATGAGTGTGTTGGATCAACCTTCCCGTGTGCGTGAGATGTTGGGCACATAGAACCAAGCAGTACTCTTCCGTGGTTGGGCATCCTTACACTATGTAGGAATAGGGGAAAAGGCGTCGCGTAGGCGCATATTCTGTTTCTTGCTGCTTTGTGTTCGTATGTGTGTGTGTGAGTGTGTGTGTCTGCGCGTGGTGCCATTCTTGTGTTGTCGATAGCTGGTACTGTTTGCGCCCATCTGCGTAGGGTGGATGGATGCGTGTTGATTTGCTGGCATGGCATGGAGATGTCAACTAGACTGTGGGAGCCAAACAAAAAAAAAAAACGTGAAATGGGACAGCAATCACAGCAAAAGAAACCATGAACGCATGAGACTTTGCGGGGGGAGGCAAATAGGCTTCTTGTTGTTTGGTTGCATGCACGCATGCAGTTGTGTATACAATACACATCTACGTGGCGACATGACTCAGGTAAACGAAATACACATATGGGTGTGGGGGTGGAGGAGAAGGAGATACAAAGATTAAAATAATAATAATAATAATAAGTGCAGGAAAACGGAAAGGGACTGAGGAGGGTAATAAACTGATGCAGGGCCAGGGAATGAGGCAAACAAAGGAGCTTCTAATAATAATGAAGAGAAAAGGGCGTATTCGCTTCGTCGGTAGGTGTTTCATTTAAGGGCAGAAAAGGAGCGATAAACCAGAAATAAATTGAGGAAAAACGAAACGAAGGACTCCAAAAAGGATCAGACACACACAGATCTATGCTTATATACATGGTGGGAAAGGTGATGAAAACAAAAGAAAAAAAAAAGTCGCCCAAAGAAAGGCGCGTAAAGGTGTCTTTTGTGTGTGTGTGTGTGTGTTTTGTTTTGTTTTGTTTTGCATCTCGGCGAAGTGCCCAAAGAGAAGCACAAAAGAGTAAGGGAGAAGAAGGTTGTCATGTTTTTGTTGAAGCATGCAAGCGGAAGCCACAGCGAGGGAGCGGGGGGAGGCATATTGCTTGAGAGCTTTGCATTGGCGCTTACGACAACTCTGACCACAATGACGTCAAACTGTTGTATTCAACCACATGCTTGCTTGTTGCCGAGGCGCACCAGATCTCTCGCTCCCTCCTTGCGTTTCTGTGTGTGTGGGGGCGTGTGCGCGAGGAAGCGGGTGAGAGGGAGGAAGAAGACTGTTGCTTGTACGCAGAGCAATCGGCACCCGCATAGAGGCCACCACGATGAAACACAAATGAGAGAGACTTCCGACATAAAACGAGGGACAGAGAGGCGGGCGATGCTTTGAGGGGCAATACATATATAAATATTAGAAGAGAGTAAACTGAAATGGAGTGCAACCACTCCTTCCTCCCTCCTCTTAACCCTGAATAGAAGAAGCGAGGTGTTACTTTGTTTTAGGGTTTCTGCTCGTATTTTTACTGCATGATTTACTCTCCCCTCCTCCCCCCACCCCACCCCACCCCCTCCTTTTTTTTCTTTTAGTACTCTCTCTCTGTGTGTGTGTGTGTGTGTGTGTGTTTGATTGTTGTTTTTTTTCTTTTCCCACTGCGCTGCAGCCGCTTCTGTTGAGCGCGCTGAATTTCTTTTGTTTTTACCTTTTGTTCCGCTCTATTGCTTCCCCCTCCATCTCCCTTTTAATGCAGTAGGCGACGACGACTCGGTGCTCCCCGCCTCTCTTGGCTGCTTCACTGCCCCCATTCACTGTCTCAAACATACCCCGTGTCTAGCCTTCACTGCCTTACTGCCTCAATCTCCCTCCCTCACCTCCTCTTTGTTTCTCTCTGTGGTCATGCCCTTAAAAAGGAAAAACGTAACACACACACACACACGTACGCGGACCCACGCAAGGAAGAATTACGGAAGTGTCACTTACAGTGGCGTTTGCCGTGCGGTAGAAGAACTTCTATTTAACAACTGCAAGGCAACACTCACACACAATATTAGGTAGGCACGCATGCTGCGGTTATCGTTCGCCTACCGCAAGTCCCGGCACCACAATGTGCTGCGGCGTGGGCGACCCCACATGCAAAAGTACCGCGAGCTCAACCGGTGGCAGCGGCAGGCACAAGGCATACGCAAGTGGGATCAGAGCCAGTCACATAGACCGTTGCCGTATGTTGAGCGCTTTAACCCTGAAGGTGTCGGAGTGACGCGCGGTACGTCCGCCTTCGCATGGCAGTGGTGGCATACGCAGCAGCCATGGTTGCCGAACGTTGCACCGGCCAACTACATGGGAAAGAGAACGTCAAACACGTCTGGGGAAACGGCGGAGACGACGAAGTCGCCTGCGTGGGATGAGGAGTTTACAACAGTCGTTTTAAGTATGACGGATTCGGAGATTCGCGACTATCTTGTTAGTAAACTCACAGACGTCATCTTTGCCGAGACACAGCGTGACGGGTATGAACTGCGACGGCTGGACTTTGAAGGAAACCCGCTCACCGCACTCCCAGAGCGACGCATTATCGAGAGTTTTGTACTTGAGGAGGAGACGCTGCGAGAACGTGTTATTTATCAAGTGGTAGAGGGCGTATTTCGTCTAAGTCCAACGTCTACCGACAGGCGCGAACTTCGTAGCGTGGAAGCAATTATTGACTACGTCCTCACGCATGTGTCCGCCGCACGACCGGATTACGGGCGGCATGTAACACCGGCCGCCTTGGCGGTGATGCAGCAGTGTTCACTACAGCCAGAGCTTGGCTTCGTGCACGCCCTACCAGTGGACGCACGTGACACACTGCTGCAGGAATGGGAACGCATGTTTCATTTAGACTGGCAGTTTGGTAAGGCCGTATATGAGCCACGCAATCATGAGGATACGCGCGGCAATCTCACGTGGCTGCGGGAGGAGCGGCACAACGCCGAGCGTGTGGAGTTTATGAAGGAGGTGCTCAGTGGCGAGGCGAAGAGGCGGCACATGGAGCGCATCGCCGAAGCCGCCCGCGTGGACCCTCCCAAGGCGATGCATTGATGTCACCCGGCAGATTACAGGGAAAGGCGAGGGTGAAGGAGAAAATTGAGGGAATTAATGGACGCGAGATGATGCGGGGCCGGAAAGGGAGCTCTGTGGAAGGGAAGGAAGGCGGTGGGGGGTGCTGTGTTGTTTTGTTGCCCTTGTTGTTTGCAGAGAGGGCGGCAGAGTGCGGTGGTGTGGTGACGAGCGATGAACGCAGCACGGTGCGTGAATGAAGCGGGAACAGAAAAAGATGTGTGGGTGGGCGCTATACTCTTTTGCCTTCGGATTGTTTTTTTCTTGCGTTTGAATTATTATTATTATTCCGCCGAAATCTGACTCCTTTTTTTTTCCCCCCTCTTGCGCCCGCATGCACGGTGAGGAGAGGAGGTGCGAGGAAGCAGGAACAGGAAGTAAGTGGCGTCCTCATGTCGATGCATGCGGAGGATATGGGGCACGATGGCGTGAGCCACAGCCGAAGGGAGGGCGCTGTGAAAGAGGTCAATGTGGATTTGGAGCAGTTGCAGCTTATTCAGCTTTGCTTCGGCGAACACGAGTTTGGCGTGGCGCTAGACAACGACGTGACTGACGACACCCAGAAAAAGCAACAGGATGGAGCCGAGTCTGACGCGGCGTCGCAGCAAAACAACGACCACCAGCAAGGTGGCCTCGGCGTCGCGTTTGATTTTGACCCCATTCTGTTCGTCCAGGAGAAGTTGGATCACGGCGTGCCCCTTCGTAGTTTGTGTCGGGATCTCGAGACGTACGCAAAGTTTCTGGACAGCAGCATCCTGCGACATGTGAACATGGAGGTCCACGACGCCTTTGTGAAGGTCTCTGGGCATCTCGTTGGGATGCAGGATGAACTGCGTTGTGTGCAGCAGCCCGTGCTCACCGCCGTGAAGAAAGTGGAGGGAGCGTTAGAGAAACTCGCGAAACTGGAGGAAAACGTGAATAGTCAAATACGAGACGCAACCGAAGTGGAACTGAGTCGTATTTTTGACGTGAGTTTTCTTAAGATTCTATTGATCTTTGATTTGCTTTCTGAGCGAGTCAAGGCACTTCCCTCTTGTACGCACTCCACGGAGAGTGACATCAAGCAGCAGCAGCAGCAGGCGAAACACAGTGGCAGCTCCTCATTGGCAACTGTGGCGGTAGCGGCGGGCAGCCCACATGTGTGTGAGGCCCTTCGTGATATTGCTGTTACGGTGCAGCAGTGGAAGGCGCTTTTTCAGACCCTGCCGCGGCTCCCACAACGTACAAAAGAATACGAGGAGGCGTCAGAGGTCCTTCGCGAGGGCACGCAGTTAGTACGTGGGGTGTTTTCAAACGTGTATCTTGCACTTCATGAGGCCTATCTGCAGGCCTCACGAGAAGAGTTGAAGCCGGCGTTGCGTGAAGTCATGGAAACGTACCGTATATCTGGGGAAGTGCGGGAATTCTGTCGGATGTATCGTGAGCGTGTTCTGCGACCACTGCTTGAATCTGTGCTCTCATGGCGGGCTGCCACACAAGCCCGCCATAGTCTGGAGGATACAATCAGTCTTCTAACAAGTCTACGGGAGCAACTGGAGACGAAAGTCCTGTGTTTCCTACCACTGATTTGGGAATCTTTTGAAGGCATTGTGCTGCCGATTCCCATGATTGTCTGGCCAACTGTGTGCGAGGCAGTCGTGAAGAAGATGGTCTCGTTGTATGACATTAGCGTGGCAGACGCCTTTCAGAAGCGTTACGTCGCAGCGCATGAACTGCTTGCTCTTATGGTGGCCAACTGCAGATCTGCAGAGGAGCTGTGGGCGCTGATGCGGTCGCCTGATGTTGCACTTTGGAGGCACAAGTGGAACACGGACGTGTACGGCACAATACGGGTCAATGAGTTATCGAAGAAAATTGAGGAGGCGATTAAAGCGTTTTGTGCAACGCCATTGGAGACATTGGCTCAACAACCGCAGAAGCAACCAGGCAAGCACCATGTGGGGGATGCTGGATTTTGCCTCGAGCTTTTTACAAAACTAAGGGAAGCATTGGATTGGTTTTTTTCGGCTGATATTTACATTTACATCTTGACCCCGAAGTTCATTCGTGAGGCGGCCGTTGCAACACGTCGAGTGGTGCAAAATCTGCTGGAGCACGTGGAGGCTGCTCAAGGTGCAGGTTCGATGCAGGACTGGCTGCATGTTGTCATGGCTGCTGGCACTGATTTTGAAAAGCTCGCAGCGTACATTGAAGGACCTTTTCGTACGCGATTAGAAGAGGTGAGTCAACACTCATTTCCCGTCACATCGCCTCTCCTGGAGCTTCTCACACAAGATACTTGTCGTAGTGCTGTTGCCTGTCTTCACCGTGTGGTGCAGAGCCGCCTGACGGAGGAATGTCTTGTTGGCCTTCAGAATGTTCGTTCGGTGAGGTCGGCGTACTCACACATGCGCAAGCCATTCCCTACGACACCGTCGTGGTATGTTCCTAGCGTAGTAGAGCCACTGCAGCGCTTTGATGCATCTGTGCGCACGTTATTGCCTTCAGCGGCCCGCCATGGTATGATGGTGGAATTGGTGAATGAGGTGGCGAACCGCTTTCGTGCGCTTGCGAAGGAAACACTTATAACGGCGAAGAAGACGGAAGAAAGTTGGGAAAAGTTGCGGCGTCGTAAAGAAACAACAAGCGGTGGGCGTGGGCCTGAGGTTGAGGCTGTTTTGGGAAATGGTCATCCTTCTTCTTCTGCTGCTGCTACTAGTGTGAGACCTACGCAGGAAACCGCGTCGGACCGTGACAAGATGACGCTCCAGTTGTACCTCGACGCCAAGGCCTTTGTGCAGGAGGTGAAGACGACGCTGGGACTCGGGGCGGAGGCTGAAAAGCTCGCTGCCGTTGGGCCACTCTTTAAGCTGCTGCGCCGGGCCAACTGGATTATGGGCGAAGACATACCCGAGCCACCTGATATCGATGAGGCGGAGGCCTGAGCGGTGCGGGGAATTGATGCCGACATGAGGAACACGATGGACAATAGATGAGTTATGTCCTTTGTTTGTTTGTTCCCGCTTTTTTTTGTTTTGCTCTTGTTTTTTTTTTTTTTCGTCTTTCTTGTGTGTACGTGACCAATGATGCCAGCGCCAGAAGAAAAGGAAAAATGGAAATGAAAACCGCGAGGGAGTAGGAAGAAAAAGAAGAAAAGAGAGGAGAGGCCGTCGGTGGTGGAAGGGTGAGTGTGTGCTCCAAGGAAGGAGTGGGAGATGTGTTTGGTTTTCACACAGCCTGCCCACTGCTGTTTTTGCTTTACTTATGCTGATCTACTTTGCCGTTTCTTGTCTTTTGCCTCTGTCGTCTCTTTTCATCTCCATCTCTCTCTCTATGTCTCCCTGCGCTTGCTTGTTTTTGCCCTGTTCGATATAAGCAGGGGAGAGGAGAAAGGCGATTTAATGCATGATGTACTGAGTGCTAGGCTCGCCGTACACATTGCTGCTACACCAGCACGTGGCGCACCTGCGATTGCGTCGTCAACCTTTCAAGGTTTACTGTAGAGCATTGGCTACGACTCTGTTCTACGCCTTGCTGTTTCGAGCCCTCAACGCCTTCTTCACAGTCACGCCTGATGGCAGGTCCCAGCTGCAGCTGTGGCATCTGATAGATGCCGTTGAGCGTTTTGGCAGGCAAGAACAGGGAACGCCGTTTCTTGTAAAGAAACTTACACATCCGAATATTCACTTGGCGCCCATGGACAGTTGTTGTGTATGCGTCGTGGTGGCTAGCAAAGACGGGGGTGATGTACCGTTGGGGTCGACAGTGAAAACATTGACGTTGTGGAGGGGTATCTTCGCTATTTTCTTCTTCTTGGTCTCGGTCTGCCGGGTGCGATAGCGCGGCAGTTTCGGAAGGCGATGCAGAGACTGACATCAGTCACGGGAGTGTAGAAGGGGACGGCACCGTATATGCAAGAACATTTTCAGCGTCTCTGTGGTGCGCTTGACGACCACTTCCAGCAGCATCCAGACATGCTATTTGTTCTTGGAATGTCACACCCCAGCTTGGCGGATGTTTACATGGGGGCAGCTTTTTCCGCCAACTTTTTAATGGATGGTCCACCTGCATCCTTCGTAGTACAGAAGTTCCCACACCTGAACCGTTACCTGGAGCGTGTGACAGGGTGGCGTGGTGGCGTCTTTGTCGGGGAGGAAAACACGGAAAATACGAAGGAGTGGGTGAGCCAAACATATGACGCCTATGCGGACGTCGTCCCAGAGTCAATGTCGGCCCTGCTTCAGCTCATTGAAGAGGTGATGCCCTTCATGCTCTCGCAGTGTGCAGCGTTTCATGCCTTCATAGCGGAGGGGGGGGGGGTGCGGCAGCTTAAAAGGGAGTCACTTGAAGAGCCGTGGCAAGGGTGCAGCGGCTACCTTGTCCCACAAATTACCGAAATTAAATCTCTTATGATTATTGACGACGGCGTTTACACCGTGTGCGCTCGGGCGCAGGATCTCGAAGTGGCACTGTTAGCTGCCCGTGAGGTGGTGGATGATGATGATTTTAACGGTAACGAATTGGACCTGGGCGGAGCCACGGGAACGCGTCTGGAGAAGACGACCTCTACAGGTGACGCCTCACAACATGACGCAATGCAGCCACCAGTGGACGCGGCAGCAAATGTGGGGTTGCGTCGTCACACACGTCTTTAGATGCCAGCGCAGCGGCAGAGGGTGACGTTGATGACCCGTTAGCAGAGGATGCAGACTTTCACCGTGTCTTCACTGCATCCAACCATCGCCAGCGTGGCGGCCCTATGCAACTGCGACGAGGTACGAATGCCTTGGGCCGTATCACTGTGGATTCTCGCCTCCAGGCAATTTGAACCATGTTGTGCAAGATGCATCACCCACACTACACACTCTCTAGCGTATTTCATGGTCACAAGATGTTTGTCGGCGTTATACCCGAATACGAGGTGGCTCGGAGGCGGAAGGAAGTGAAAGATGGCGTCACGTAGTAGTGGGTTTCTCTCCCATTTTATCTGTGTATTTGTATGTGTGCGGAATTCATTATTGTGTGTACATTCCTTTTTATGATTATTAATTTTTTAATAGCTGTTTTTTTTTTTTCTTGTGGCATGCATTTGTATCTCTCCTGATCCCCCCCCACCACCCACTTATACACACAAGCACACACTGGGGCGTTCAGATGTTAGTACTTTGAATCTTTCTTCCCCCTTCCTTTCCTCGTTTAAAGTCCAAACAACAGCATCATAGCACTCGTGTTTGGACGCCGTTTAGTGTCGGGTGCAAGTGCAAGAAGTCGGCGGAGCGTGGGGTGGAGCGAGGAAAGGGGGAGGGGCTCTGTCCAACAGCAACATCCCCCGAGTGACGTCGCCTCGTTACTTCTCTTTTTTATTTTCGTTGCATGGGGGACACTGGGGGGATATCAGCCAGGCGTTGCTAAGCGGAAAAGATGTTCGTGAGCAGCCAGGTGCGGCTGCTCAATAAGCAGACGCAGAAGTATATGACGAAGCTTCGATATCGCTTTCGTCGGCCAAATGTCCTGCCATTACGTCAAACAGCAGAGCAGCGGCGGAACACGATTCTTGAGGTTCTTCGAAAACGTCGCATCAGCTCTGGGGATCACTCACCGTATCGGTATGTAGAGCAGCGCTTGTACTCAAAGTCATCGAGGCTCGATCGTGAAGGGGTAAACCTCAACAAAACATATGCGTTGCAGGGTCTTGGTGACATGGAGCCATTACGAAATAGCGCCAACTTTGGTCTGTCGGAGAAGGACGCGTTGAGGTATGAGAGCTGGGGGGAACGAGCCAAGTACACCGCACCACCAGTCCCTTTTACACCCCTTGCGGCACGAAAGCTTGCGGGCGGCGCACTCTGGCCCTCGGCGCCTGAGCCCACAGGAATGATGAGTAGGGAGGTACGCTATCTACGGCATGAGTCTAATATGTCGCCAAGTGCACGTGCGTTCTGTGAGAGGGTGGCGTATCATTTGCGCCGTTCATTGAAGGCGTGTCCCGCACACATTGGGGAGCGCATAGATTTTGCCCAACTTATCATTCAGGAGGTGCTGGGATCCCGCCGCTCGAAGGAGATTTATATTGTGTGGTCGACGGTGGATCCGGGGGCGCGGTTTGAGCTGGAGCCGCTGCTTCACCAACTAAATCATTGGGTACAACGACTGGTCATTCAACGTGTGAAGAGTCGTCCACACATTCCTCGGGTGTCTTGGATCTATGACGGTGGTCGGCTGGAGCGTGAGATGCCGCGGGAATTACTGAATGAAATGAAAAGCTTTGTTGGGGAAGCCTCCACAACTCTGGAGTCCCGTTTGAAGTACCTTAAGGAGCTTGACACGATGAACCAGCGTATGAAAAACATTCCATGGTTTATGCCATATCTATGGAACAAGGAGGAGAAGGCAACACGGCGCAAGACAATGGAGGCGGATTTGGCTGAAGTGGAACAGCGTCAGCGGCAGGAAAGCACAGTCCAGCGGAGTTCACCACCACAGACGAGCCCACCACCGCAGTTTGTCCGTTAGTTTCTTCTGTGTCGGCACCGAGTGCCCCGTATGGTTGTTTTTTGTTGTCTTTGGTACATCTGTCTACCTCTGTGTGTGTTTCTTTTTCTATTTCCGTGAATACAGCTACGTGCACTGTTGTTGTTGTTCTCTTCTACCCATGTTTGTCTGATTTGGGTCTCTGCGAGATTGTCTTTTGTTGTTGTTGTTTTATGTGGGTTCCCTTTTCTTACTCTTTGGCACTGTGGTTTTTCCACTCTGAACACATGGGGCGTGACAGGTGTGAGCGCTGAGTGGCGTTTCACGCGTAGAGGAAGACACCCCAAATGCATGGCTATGACACGCGCCAAAACGCCAGCAACCAGGCAGGACCCATTGCATCGCCGCGCTGCAACACGGAGCTTTGCACCGTGGCGAGTCGATCATGCCACTGATGTGGGTAATCAAAAATCCGGTGTGGATGCATCTTGCGAGTCGCTTCTTGGTGACTTCTGCTCCGGACCGCAAAGGATCGGGCGAGCTCCGAGGCAGCCCGCCACTGCACTGCTTCGTTGCCCGCTTCACCAACGACGGGCGTTGCGCCCGGCAGTTGTTATGGCTGACGATAACAGTTCCACGTCTGCTTCTGCCGTTGTGAATCGATTATGCAAACTACGTGAACTTGGTGTGTTTGCTTCCAACCGGAATACGATGGCGGAAATGGATTTGGCATTGTTTTTAGAAGAGGTCGTTATTCCTGCGAAGCACACAGTGCGCCTCCACGATGTAGAAGGTAGAACGCTAGTTGTTCAGGGCGCCACCGCCGTGGAGACGCGTCCGATCCACCTTTATGCTGATCTCTCTGCCGCACATTACGGTGACCGTTTTTACATTACGCCTTTGCTCGATCGCCCGACTATTTTCAGCAGCTCACACTCATGGAACGCGGAGAACAGTTCTGGTGTTAGTACTGCCGTGCCTCAGTGGAAACACTACACGGTGGCAGTGGCGCTCTATATTGCGCTGGCAGAAGCTGGGTACTGCGATCAGGCATTGCCATTCCTGTCCGTGCAATGGATCAACTGGCAAAAATTACTGCGTCACCAGATGTATCTGAGACTTGAACTGTTGACGAATAGCGTCACACGTGAGCTGTTGCGGCTCCACCACAAACCCTCCCATCATCAAGATGGGGATGACAAAGGGGGAGAACGAAAAATTCCAGTCGCCTTACAACTCCCACTCACAAGGAAGGGCGTACTGCGCCGCCCGCACACGGATAAAGAGAAATTACCATCCTTGTATACGCAACCATTCACAGATGTGGAGGTGTTTGAGCTGTTTTACCTGCAGCTTGTATTCCGTGCTTTGTATGACATACGGTTTCCTGGTATGACCGCTGAGGAGGAGGGGCGCACGCTACGCTCCGATCTTATTGGGGTTCAAACAGGTGGGGTGCGACCGTTAGCCTTTGAGCACCCAACTTTGCTTGATCGCTGGCTTCTCTTTCCGCCACGATCACAGGTGCTTCACTTTGTGTCACTTGAAGAAGCCGTTATCCCTCACTATGCATCGTCGCAAAGAAATCTGGAAACAGCGCACCAGAGGCTTTTTGGGGCCACAGAAATGTTGCCATGTCAAGGCCAGTTGGGACGAGATGTGGTTATAAACTGGGCGATGCAACGCGTTATTTGCAGTCCACAAGATGCATTTCTTGCCTTGGAGGAGTTATTTAACCTCTTTGAGGATCCCTACGGTGTGGAGCGAGCAACAGTGTGGCAGGCCCCTGTACTGCCACGAACATATCGATGTGGAATGGCTTCACTTAGGCGGTTGCATAGGAATAGTAGCGATTTATCCCTTTTTTTTTCGTCGCTACATTCTTCCGACCTCGTTGTGGAAAATCACTCTATCTCCTCAGCTGTGCAAGAGCCAACAAGTTGCGTAGAAATCAGTGAAGATCGCATTGTGCAACGTTGGAGGCAGTATATTCAGGTAGGTTCAATTGCGTTGTTTGACGGTAACACGGACGCGATTGAGATTGTAAGGTTCCTTGGAATGGGTGGTAGTAGCTTAGTGTACGAGGGAAGGTTTGGTCCAAATCGCCTTCCTGTGGCAGTGAAATGTCTTATTGTTCCATCTCACATGGACCATGAGACGTATGTAAAGGAATCCCTGACGAATGTGGCGTTTTTTGTACTTTTTAATCAAATGGAGAGCTGTGGGATTCTGTACGGCACGCGTATATATGAGTTTGTGGTGAGTAGCACACCTCCCAACGGGATGCCAGCGAAAGACGTAATTGTCTGTAGCCGTGGGGCAGATGCGGACTCTGGCACAAAACTTTGTTACGTCGTGACGCGGCTAATGGACGGTGTCGTTGGTAGGTTTCTGACGGAAGAAGACGATGAGTATGACCCCTGCTACGATGCACTTGTGAACGCTCCCCTGCGTGATGGGGAGATCTTTCAATTTTTGTACACACAACTTGCTGTGCGGGCGTTGTTTGACTATACCATTTTAGACCTGATGTTGCACGGTCAGCTTCGCGGCGATAATCTTGGCTACGCGCTCGTCTCCCGTGGTGAAGGTGCCACTCCCCTTTGTCCATCGTACGATGGCATCGTAATTGTGTTTCAAACCAGCAAAGACACTTCCCCACGATATTTACGCTTTCCTGTAGACGTTTCGAATCCAGGAAAAAATGGGCCACTGCGCTTCATCTGCTTTATTGACCTTGGCCAGGGGAAGCAGCCACAGGCGGCGGAACTAACACGGCGTGGTCTCATTGGTGAAACAATTGTGGAATCCTGCGTCGTGGACGATGGACTCGGTCGCTACTGGCCGTTGGACCGCATTTACAGTAAATACATCGAGACAAGTGGTACGTTGGCCCGCAGCGCAGTGGAGTGGGGATCCGGTCTTTGCGTTGATTCTCCGCAAGCTGCAGAGGACGCACTGGAGGGGCTTTTTGAGCTTTACGAGCCCACCTATGGCGTGTCCGCGCCGACATCTGAGGAACTCGTCAGACACGCCGTCTTTGTATGGACGCCTTCCACTGTTGCAGAGCTGCGTCGTTACTACGTCTACCGCGACAAAAACGACAGGTGATGGGGATGAATCGGGTGGAGGAGCGAACAAGTGAGTCTGTGAATGAAGTAAAGAGTGGCGGGGTGTTTTTTTTTTCTTGTTGCTGTTTTTATATTTGTGTCAGATGAGTTGCAGGGATATTTGGACTGATGTTGTGGCCGCAGCAGCAGCTGCTGCTGCACTTTGCTGTTGTTTCCCCTTTTTTTTTGTCTTTTTTTTATTATTTTTATTTTTTTTTAAAGCACACTGTAACATGTACAGAGAGAAAAGGAGTCTCTATCTCACTCCCTCTTTTTTTGCCAATGTATATTTATGAATGTGTGCGTATGTCCTTCCAAGTGGTGGCCTCGCACGTAAGCGCTCTGTATATATATATATATATATATATATATATATGACACTA